CACTGTATTCCTTTTTTTTTTTGTTCTCTGTCTTTTCTCCTCTGCTGAGATTTGGAGTGTGAGAGATGGAAAGAGAGGAACTTTGAATGGCCAATGAGCCTGAATAATTGCGTTCATCAATTAAAGAAGTCAGAGACTTAACGAATATAACTAATTATGGACATAAATCAAGCAAGCTCCAGCCTTGACTAATTTGTACAAGGTTGAAGTGATTTGACTTATACCACTAGGAGTTTTGCACAAAAAAAGCTTGCTTGCTTGTGTCTACAATGTCAAAAAATTAAAATGAGACAAGTCACCTTTGCTACAGTTTAGAATAGTTATCCTAAAAATCTTGTCATCATTCACTCCACTTTCCAAACCCAAATGACTTGCTTTCTTCTGTGGAACACAGATACATTTTAAAGAATGTTCAAGAAGCTTATTTTCACGCAGTTAAAATAAATGGTGACCAGCTCCAAAAATAAAAAAGCACCATAAAATAAAAGTGTCTTTTGTGTTACACTTCAAGCCATTTCATAGTTTTTTTGTGAGAAAAAGATGGCAAGTCATTATTCACTATAAATGTTTTTCTCTACCTCATTTTTTCAAATCTCTGACTTCAACTTGTATTCAAATGTCAAAATGTGTTTTTCAAACCAGGTTTTACTTCAATAATGTCAGTGCATTTTGCAGAAAAACTACTTCAAATTTGGTCCATATTACTTTAGCTGACTTGGAAATATAGTTCATAAGTATTATGGACTAGTTACGATCTGTTTTTGGTCCTTTTTGGAGCTTAACATCCCTTGGTCACTATTATATAGTTAAAATAGAGTGTGAACATCATTTGTATGGTCATGATGGGTAAATAATAACAGGGTTTAGATTTGGGGTGGATTAACTATCCCTTTACAACTGGAATTACGTCGCAAACTGAGATTAAGGATATTGGCTTCATAGAGTGAACTTTTTGACGAAATGTGAGCCATCCCACTTCTTTGAGTCATCTGGAAAAATAATCTACGATAGCACCATCAAGCTGTCTAGTGTGTCTGGAAAAGCCGAGACTTTCCAGTGGAGAAAGTAACTGCTGGAAGTAGTTGACCCACAGTCTTCATGACACTCCGTCATCGAGGCCGATATGTGGTATTGCGTAAAGCTGAGCATATGTTCCTCTTCATCCTCAACTAGGTCATCACCGCTAAGCCTGCAACGTGAAGTTAGTCTTTTCTGAAAACTGTGTGAGTTTCCATCACAATCATTCATTGAACTCCATGACACTGCTCGAGCTGGAACCACAGGCTCATTTGTAGTGGAATTTAAGGCCTCATTGGAAAGTTTCGTTCCATGGTCTTTCAGCACCGCTGGGCCTGTTGTACTACACGGCAAAGGGAACCAGTTTTATTTCCCACTTATTTGCCATGGTGTTTATTAGTTACAGAAAATATTCCAGTATCATTGTTGCGTTTGAGACCACGGGGAATAACAATGAGTGATCATTGAGATCCGACAACCGCCAGCTCGTCGGGAGCTCGTAAAACAAGTCAAGTCAAGTCAAGTCACATTTATTTATATAGCGCTTTTCACAATACAGATTGTATCAAAGCAGCTTCACAGTGATAACATGAAAGTAGCACAACACAGATCAACAACATTGCTAAACACTAAATAACCCCAACTGAGCAAGCTCAAAGCAAGCCAAAAGCAAGGCGACAGTGGCAAGGAACCAAACTCCATCAGATTGGATGGAGAAAAAACCTTGGGAGAACCCAGGCTCAGTCGGGGGCCAGTTCTCCTCTGGCTTACATTCATATTGTTTAAATATAAATATTAAATATAAATATTGTTTATGAATCAAACGGCGCCATAACATATCGCAGGCGTTGAGTCGTCTCATCACAGGCGTTGAGTCGTCTCATCACAGGCATTGGGGCATCCGAAATCCCTGTGAGAGGCTGGACACAAAACTGGACCTGACGAACGCCATTTTTCTCGGGACAAGCGTCCCGAGATAACAGCAGAAAGGCAGATGGGAAATAATTAGCATAGCTGATGTTCATAATGATTTCCGTTATAACTCACAAACTCTCCGTAACCCGAACTCTCCGCAACCCAACCATACGCGCCGACCCGTTTGTCTAAAAGGCTGTCGAGCCCCACTGGTGCGTTAAGCAGTTTCAGTGGCAAACGGTTCCGTATGGCATAACAGAGGACTAGAAGGTAAGCATTATGTGAATGCTTGACTAAAGAGATGTGTCTTTAATCTAGTTTTAAACTGTGTCAGCGAGTCAGAGGCTCGGACCGTATCGGGAAGGCCATTCCAGAGTTTTGGAGCTAAATGCGAGAACGCCCTCCCTCCTTTACTGGACTTCGATATCCTAGGAATGACCAGAAGCCTTGAATTTAGTGATCTTAAGGAACGCGGTGGATTGTAGGGCGAAAGAAGGTCCGTTAAGTACATAGGTGCTAAACCATTTAGGGCTTTATAGGTCAGTAGTAGTATTTTGTAGTTGATGCGGAACTTAATAGGTAACCAGTGTAGAGATGATAAAATCGGTGTTATATGATCATATTTTCTTGACCTAGTAAGAACTCTAGCAGCTGCATTTTGTACTAACTGTAGCTTGTTTATTGAGGATGCAGGACAACCGGCTAATAAAGCATTACAGTAATCTAGTCTCGAGGTCATGAATGCGTGAACTAATTTTTCTGCATCAGAAATAGATAGCATGTTACGTAGCTTAGCAATGTTTCTAAGGTGGAAAAAGGCTGTTCTTGTAACATATGAAATATGATTTTCGAACGACAAGTTGCGGTCTAGTATAACACCCAGGTCTTTTACTGTTGTGGATAAAGTAACAGGACATCCGTCTATATTAAAGTTGTATTGTGAGAGGTTTTGTGAGTAGTTTTTTGGACCAATAAGTAATACCTCCGTTTTATCTGAATTTAATAGCAGGAAATTACGCGTCATCCAGCATTTTACAACCACTCTACTAAGTTATTTTGCTGCAATCCAGGCCAGGAGGAGTTATCACCTCAGCGCTTGGAAACTAATACCAGTTGCACTGTTGATTATGGTTATTTGCAGACATTAACTCAGAGGCATGATTGTGGTATTGGCTTCATGCAAGATCACCTGTAGGGTGAAGAACTTGGGTGAAGACTGGGGCCTTTATTGCCCCCTAAAGCTGGGCTCGTACTGCACGAGTTTCAGGATTTACCCATCCAGACATTCTGAGAAAAAAATCGTGTCCAGGCCATCGATCTGTTCCAATGGTCGGTCCAGATTATCTGGTAATGTGAGGCATTTACAGATTTTGAACTCCCCATCTGCTCGCAGAAACATTGGGGCCGTCCTGACAATATTAAACATGTTTGACATTTAGGATTTTAAATCGGGATGATTACGACTATGATTACTTCAGTACTTCCACAATAGCCAATGAGAGACGAGTTTACGAGGAGACGGGACCGAACTTTTGAAATAATGACTGCGAAACAATAACAGAGATGAAGGAACGTCTTTTCGAAATGTGGCAACAAGTCATTATAATGTCTCACCTCTTATAATGTCTACAAGAAGTTGCCACGACACCATATTCATTTTGTTAACAGCCACTTCCCCTTGAGATTACGTGAGGTCATCAAATCTGGCATGATAATCTTAAGAATATTTTAGGATTTTAAATCGGGATGATTACGACTATAGCCGCGTTTCCACCGCAGGAACTTTCCCCAGGAACTAGGAACTTTGGGGTGGTACTCGGTGTGTTTACACCACAGGAACCAGGGTCTAAATGAAGTTCCGGGTAAAAATCCCCCCCAGAAAGTCCCTGCTGGCGACTGGCGAGGTAGTACTTTTTCAGAGTTCGGGAACTTTCGGGGTGGGACTTGTGCGCTGAACATGCTGATTGGTTCTGCCCAATGGCGCACGTTCGTCCCATCCATCTCACGGTCATTGTCCGCTGATAACAAACGTCTACTTTTATATCTAGTATTCTACAAGCCTTCTGAATGCGCTTTGGGTGCTCGTCTCTTTTCTGCCATTTTGTTAATTACCTCGTTAGTAAAGCAATCGCGCACAAAAGCAGCACAGCTTGAATCTCCTCCATACAAAAGTCAAAACGCGCAGACTGGGAGTAGCCGTCTCACGCACTTCAACTACTTCAACTCACTACATATCTTCCCGCCCCGGACCGGTACTTTAGTCCGCGGTGTAAACGCAGTAAGCAAGCGGTCTTGGGCAAAAAAAAGTTCCTTGGACAAATAGTTCCTGGTAATTGCGGTGGAATTATGATTACGTCAGTACTTCCACAATAGCCAATGAGAGACAAGTTTACAAGGAGACGGGAGGGACCGAACTTTTGAAATGATGACTGCGAAACAACAAGCAGGTGGACAACAGAGATGGAGGAACGTCTGTTCGAAATGTGGCAACAACTCAGTTTGCCTTTATAATGTCTCCTCTTATAATGTCTACAACAAGTTGCCGCGACACCGCATTCATTTTGTTAACAGCCACTTCCCCTTGAGATCACGTGAGGTGATCAAAACTGGCATGATAATCTTAAGAACATCTTGTTGTGTGTGATGTGCCACGATTTTCTAATCATCTGTGCAGGTTTGAAATATGAAGAGGGAAATCTGTGAAGATTCGTCTTATGTGCGTGTCACAATCGGCTGAGATTTAGAAACTCCTGTGGTCTGAGCCTGGGTTTAGAGGAGTATTTACAGGGTTTAGTTTGGCACAGGTTTGTAATTTTGGCAACATACACAAGCATTAGTGCAATATGTTCAGACTGACTTGGTTTTTTGTTTTACTAGAGTCTCTAGGTTTGCTGCTTCAGAACTGATGTCATTTTATCCATTCATTTGCTCACTTCCAAATGAGACATGGCATCAAGTTCATTAACCAGTAATGTTTTTTGACTAATTATCTTTTGTCTTTTGGAGTCTTGATAAGTATGAAAATGGCCTGAACTTGAACTCTCCCTTCTTCTGTTTGTGTACTGCAGGATCTATCCGGCTCTATAGATGACCTCCCCACTGGAACAGAGGCGGGTCTCAGTTCGGCCGTCAGCGCCTCCGGGTCCACCAGTAGCCAGGGCGAGCAGAGTAACCCTGCCCAGTCGCCCTTCTCGCCCCATGCCTCGCCCAGAGTCCCCAGCATGCGGAGCGGGCCCTCGCCCTCGCCTGTCGGGTCACCAGTGGGTTCCAGCCAATCACGATCTGGGCCCATATCACCTGCCAGTGGGCCAGGTAAAAGATTCTGTGTGAGATATAATTTTTTGATTTGTTTTGTCATAAATATTTCTGGGAGAATAACGGCTGTTTGAAACTCTCTATTTTTATGTCGTTTCATTTATTTGAATGTTTGTTATGTTTGAATTGTATGAGATTATTCTGTTGTAGGGTCGTGAATTTTCAGGAATGTTGTTAATAAATTTTCATTAAAATTAACAACCAATCCATTGAATAACCGTTACTGTTAATATCGCAAAACATATGGAGAACTCCTAATATTATGGTCACAGAGTAGCAACAGCAACGGTACATGAATTCGTATCGAACTGAACAGATACAAAAGACGATTGATTAATCGCCAATCAATAAAATTCATAATGCCAATACTAATCTCTAGATTAATCGAATCTGTTTTATTTAGTTTGTTCCCTTAAAACAATTGGGAGAAGTAGAATATTTAATAGCTATTTAAAATTAATTGATTTGAATTGTATTAACCCTTTGACACTAGTGTGATTGGCACTAGGGCTGGGTATTGAGACAAATTTAATAATTCGATTCGATTTCGATTCGATTCAATATCGATTATTTTGGATATCAGTTACAATAAATGGCAATTTTTCTCAAGGAATCAAATCTCTTAACTAATGCTGTAAACTATGGGAGTCTAGTTGCAGCCTACTAGGCTTCATTAGCCTAATATGAAGGTAATAATGAACTGTTTTGTAGCTATACAAACACTTAAATTACACTTTTACTTATTTTTATAATAAGAAGAATATGAAATATAAACATTTAAATGGTGGCTGTCATAAAAACTTGCCAGATTTATTCAAATATGCATTAAATATTGAAGAACATTAAGATTATAATGCATATGGAATATGGTGTATGTATTTAGCAAAATGCTCCTCTCTGGAGTTATTTTTTTCTAGCTGACTAACGAGTTTATGTGGGTTTTCTGAGGTAAATATGACGATACATGATATTGATTACAAGCTGTTTAACTGACGTCTTTCCATGGTTGAAACGCTGATTGAGCGAATCAATGTGACATGATACGGATTTCGAAGTTGTACTCTATCTTTTAACACACTTTTCAGATGCTCATTCATGTTTATTTCGCGCTGTAACTGGTATTATTGAGCCGGAAGAGAGATCAGCGCTGCTGCTTCTCTTGAGCTGCGTCAGAGCGATCTCACGCCACAGCGCCAAAATGTTTTGAATTTCTAAAGAAAATGGACGTAATTTGAAAATTGAGATTGAGTTGTTTCATATCAATAGTAACAAAGGACAAAGATTATTGCGATTTTTTTGGATGCGAGCAGCCGCGATACTATGTCCCATTCATACAGGATGACTAATCGATTCTTGAGATTTAAGAATCGATATCGGTTCGTAAAAATGAGAATTGATTAATATCGAGAAATCGATATTTATTACCCAGCCCTAATTGGCACGTTCAATGAGTCACGTGATCAACTGCTAAATTCAAATGTGATTTTGTGCTTCAGCTGGTGCCAGTGTTGTAAATATAATATGTAAATAAATATTATATTATAAATATAAACTTAAGTGTGAAGGGGTTAAAGGCATACTCCACTTTTTTTTGGAAATAGGCTCATTTTACAACAAGTTAAACAGTTGAGTTTTACCGTTTTTGAAGAATATCAGTAACCAGACAGTTTCTGGTCCCATTGACTTTCTTCTAAATATTAGAAAATCGGCTGAATGGATTCGAAAACAGTAAAACTCAACTGTTTAACTCTGAGGGAGTGGTAAAATGAGCCTATTCCCAAAAAAGTGGAGTATCCCTTTAATTCCATTTACATATAGTTTAGATTATTTATTTTAAAAACATTATAAATCAAAATAAAGTATTATTATATTTCATATTTTTTTTGCATGTTGCATGTTTTGGTTCGCTGACATTGCTTAAGCCAAGTCTTCAGAAAATTATCTGCTAAAATCGCTTTAAATACAGACTAAAATTCTCTCTCTAACTAGGTACACGTTCTTCTTGAATATTCTGTTTTGGATATTTTGGGAAAACTTGCTAACTTTGACGCACCTTTAAGCTACAGCCGTCACATGCTTCTCATTGAACTCCTACCACTGTGGAGCAGTCGGAGGGCGAGGTGTCTGAGCTCCAGTCAGCAGTGGGTCAGCGACAGGATTCAAGCTGGCTTTAAAACAAGTCGCTCCATCATTAAAATAGTTTTGAAAGTCTGTTAGCTGTTTTGAGTCACTTACTCATTACTGCCCTGCGGTGCGCTGCATTGTTAGCCGGGCTTCTTTGATAGCGGGGCAGCGGAGGGCTTTGTGCCGCTGAAACTGCTGTTTTTCCTTTCCGTTCTGAATGTCACTAACAAGGTCCACAGGAGAGCGTTTACCCCGCTGCACACAAAACTGCCTTGTCTCTACTGGGAGCGCCATTGGCCATTAACCGCATACAAGGCTGGCCTTGACATGTGATCTGTGTGCCATTACTGGAGAATGAATATCTCCGCTTTCACACACATATGCGTTCTGTATACAGACACACAAAGTCGCTCCCGGGAGAGAAACAATGAGCCTTAAACGCCTCCCGTGGGACGTGTGGTTAGATATTCTGCCCTCAATGCTAATTTGTCTGATATTTATCGTGAAAAGCAACTCTTTTATGAGACCACTAACTGTGTTTGTGGTTTTATGTATGTGCACTGAAAAAATATGTGTCTTGATCAGTATTTTTGTCTTTCCAGTAAAATATCCTTAAAACAAGATAAAGATGTTAAGATAATGAATATATCACAAGGCAAGTTTATCATTTTTTAAATGGTTTTAGACAATAAATAGAAGAAAATGTACATTTATTTAACCCTTGTGCTGCATTAGATTTTTAACACCGTTGAGTGCATTAAGGACCAAAAAATGGCCACATATTAAACATTGCCTAAAATATTATATATTATTATTATTTTCCACTTTTACCAAGTTAAATCTTTTAACCAGCATCAGTCCTCATCATAACTACCAAAAATGTATTCAATTTCAGGATTTTAACCCTTTAATTACCAGTTTTGTTTGCGAAACCATCGATTTGTATAAGAGGAAAAAACACAAAAATTCAATTATTTTCAATAAACTAAATGCAAAGAGAAAACTTTAGATTTGGATTATCACAGTCCCACTTTGCAAAAAATCCCACTTAGCGCGTTAGAGACCAAAAATGGCCACCTATTAAACATTGCCTATTGCCTAAAATAAGGTGCATTTCCACCCATAGGGAATAAATATGTAGTGACGTCATCTGGTGGAATACACTATATAATGCAAATATAATGCTTTTGCTTCAAAATGAAAGGATGTTTGTGCAAAAATCATGTTTCATGTATTACTGACAGCCTCAGATTTAAACAACGTTTTAATGGGTTTCAATGGGCCATTTTTGGTCTTTATGGTGCTGAGTGTTACTATTTGATCTACACAGTGTGTGTTCTACATATTTTGCAAAATGGGATCACATTTTTTACATGTATCCAAAAAGTCACAATTTTGCCAAATTTCATACCATTTGCATTAAAGACCAAAAATGTCCCTAATGCAGCATAAGGGTTAATTGTGTATATAATAATAAAAAAATGTAGAAATAGTATATTGTATATATATATAATGTATCTTGTTTTGATGATTAGATATTTTAATCTTAAACTAGACAAAAATACTGATTAAGGTAATAATGTGTGTACAGTAAAAGACTTTGGGTTTACGCACACATGTACATTTCCGGCCCCCCACACACAGGTACACAGATGGCCCCTCAGACCCCGGGAAACGTCCCAGACGTGGGCTCCCATTCCTCTCACAGTCAGTCGCCCATGTCTCAGGAGAGAGGTGAGTTGATTTCCCGTTATAACATTGCGGCTCACTCTGACTTTTCTTAAAACTATCAAGAAAAGGAGATTTTTTTTACTGATGTATATTAACACCTGCTATATATTGTTTCCTCCTCGTGGATATGAGCAGCTAAGAGGGCTGGTGCTTTGATTTCGAGCTCAAGTATGAACATTTGTTTGTTCGGAGCTATAAGCAATAGCTATTATTGTAATTTCAGTTGTTTTCATCTATGCAAGTGAGATCACGATTAGGTTTACTGACAGCAGTAAGTTGACTTAATTTATACTTTGTGAAAACACTGTCCCATCTTATTGTGAGCAATTTACCTATTATTCTAAAGAAAATCCTTGTAAACTTGTGATGGCAAATTAAGATTTTGACCAGGTCAGATGAGTTGGTGCTGGCAGTGTTTCAGGAGGGCATTAGTCATCCATAACTCACATTCAGATCTGGTTTCAGTCTTACATTGAATGTGCGCTCATAATGATCCAGTCAGATCTCTTTCAAATCATGTTCGTTATTTTGTTTCGCTTAGATACATGACAAATTGCAGAAATAAAATGGTTGCAAATACCCCATTTAAATATTTATAACAAAAAACAAAACATTGACTGACTTACTGATCAGACATTTTGGTGGACGATTAAAAACCCCAGCTTTAACCCAAATTCCCTGTCACGGTTTAGCTTTTTCTGACTATACAAAGGCAAATACATTAAAGGGGTCATGAACCGGCTTTTTAAATTTTATTATATTGTTGTCTGAGGTCAACTTATGACGTTCGCTTGGTTTTTGCATTCAAAAACATCAAAATGAATAAGTAATAGGCTATTTTATACCCTAGTTTTGAGCCTAGCTGAAAAACGCTCGGTTTTTATGGGCGTCTCGCACTGAAGACATGGAAGTAAACGCCCACTGCTGTGAGTGGATAACAGTTTTGCATATTATAATGAGTTTCAACTCACCCGTCGATGCACTTTGAAAACATCCAATGTTGTAAAATGGCAACCGGAATGATTCGCCCATACATGTTCAACCAAGAGTCTGGTTGTAGCACAATTTCTGTCAGATCCAATATAGACGGCACAACACCGTTCTTTACTCTTAATCGGTCTGCAAATCCAGTCTTGTTAACGAAAAAAATAGTCATAGTTCCCCACTTTGAAAAACGAGTTATATCACACTTTCAGTTCTGAAACTTACAGGATATTCTTATAATATGATGACCTCTTAGATGTCAAAAGCTCAAGGAAAATTTGATTTCTCAGTTCATCACCCCTTTAAAAACAAACAAAAAAAACTAAAAACTAATAATTTGCAAGGCTGTTTCAGAAAACACTTTTGTTGTTGTTATGAATAATCTTTTCCGGTTTTAATTTTTAGGATTCGCACCTAACATGCAGCGCAATGCTCCTGGTCCCCAGTTTGGAGGCCAGCAGGCTGGACCTTCTATGTCCCCACACTCCTGTCCCACTGGCCCTATGCAGCATAATGTGGGCTCCTATCAGCTGGGCCCCTCTTATGGACCCCAGAGTGGGCAGTATGGCCCTTCAGGTAACACACGCTCACATTCCCAGTTCTTCTGCTTGCAAACATTTGAAATTTTTGTTTAGGTGAGGATTTCTTCGATAGCTTTTTGTGATGAACATAGAAAAAAAATTGTATTCTCATACAAATGTAATTTTTGTCATCATGCATTCATTCATTCACACATAACGATAAGACATGCGAGAGCCAATGTTGTTACACAGTACATCATCAACGACAAGCCTAGTGCAATAGCTTAAGGCACCAAAGGTAAATATATGAATCTTATTTTGTCTTCAACGGAACAAAGAATGTAATCTGGGTTTGGAATGACATGTGAGGGAGTAAATTACTGAATTAATTTTTTTTTGGGTGAACTAATACTTGTGGTTTCACAAACAGGGCTTAGATTAAGCCAGGATTTGGATTTAAGTAGCTTTTATAAACATGCCTTAGACAAAAACATTACTGGTTAAATGTGGAGATAAAACAATGTCATATTTTAAGATATGTCAGTGCATACTAGTGGTTTCAGTTAAGACAACTGAAACATGCATTTTAGTCTGGGACGAGGCTTTAAGCCTTTGTCTGTGAAAACGGGGGAAAGTGTCTGTTGTTGTTTCAGCCTTGTGCGTCTGTGAAAGAGACCCCATTAACAGGGCTCAGCAGTAATTCATCATGAATGTTATGGTGTGCAGATGTAATAAATGAATAGCTGCTAAGCATGCCTTTATAATGTCATGGCCTCCACTCGGCCTGATTGATAGTCCCTGTTGTCCTGTACTCTAATTCAAATGACTGACAGCCAGCTCAAGACAACAGGAGTGCATCGTGCTGCCGCTGTTGCAGGCCTGACACTGACTGAGCTTCAGCGGCAGTCGACCGCAGAATTGTTTACACAGATTGATGGGATCCATGAAAAGATGCCTCAGTCAATTCATAGTTTGGAAGAACATCAAATTAAGCATTTTATTGTTTCCTGAAGTCTACTTTTAATGCAAACATTAATAATTTTGAGGGTTTTTTTAAACCATTTTCCCCTCTCTCTCTCACTTACCCTTAGACTAGTTTATTACATCTTGTTTTACATTGATTTATTTTGGCGCCTATATTAACAGGCAACGGGGCTTGCACTGCGTTCATCAGTAGCCTGGTAGCACTGCATGCAAGAGTTTCGGTGCTATGGCTAATTTTGTTGTGCATTACAACCTGAACTCAGGCTTGGTGGAAACGCCCTTATAACCCAGGGGCATAGTGGCTCAGGGGATAGCGCTGTGGCCACAGCAAGAAGGTCCTCGGTTCGAGTTCTGGCTGAGCCGGAAGGCAATCCAAAGACAAGAGGTGAATGAGAGGTGATTCTAAGGCTATGTTCACACTCTCAGTCCAAATTGATTATTTGTGCAGCCGATTGGATTCTGATATAAAATGACTGAATACACCAAATACAACAACAACTGCAACATGGAGGGGTTTGTAAGAGAGATGTTGTCTATTTCAATCTAGTGATCTAGTTATCTCTGTAAACTCAAGTAACTTGGCAATAGAGCGGCAGTGGCTCAGTGGTTCATGTAGGTTGTCTACAAAGACTGATCTCATGAAGTAGCGTGTGCATGACACGCCAATTCGTATTTCGATTTTTGGCGTGCTATCAAGATGCATAATCGCTTTTCAGCGTGTTTATGAACGCCGTTGACTTAAAGTTATTACTGTTTATATAAAGATATGACTTACCTCAACCCCGTCCCTAAACCTAACCGTCACTGGGGTTAATGACGTTTATGAGTGTTCCCTTACCATCCTAGGAAAAAAAAAGATCGCTTAATGGCGTAGACATACATGCATACACGCAGATAGCTCAAAATGCGTAGAGATAACGTGTATGTTTACGCAAAAGTCATGATGTCATGTTGACAAACCAGAAGGTTGGTGGTTCAATCCCCAGTTCCACCTGACCAAGTGTCGAGGTGTCCATGAGCAAGACACCTAACCCCAGTTGCTCCCGACGAGCTGGATGGCGCCTTGCATGGCTGACACCGCTGTTGGTGTATGAATGTGTGAATGCGAGGCAATATGTAAATTGCTTTGGTGGCCATTGGGTCTGTGAAAGCACTATATAAATAGCCTGGGAAAACCCAGACAACTTCCGGCAAATTTAGATTTGCTCTTTAAATTAGTCTGGGAAAGAGCTCATTCAAGACCATTTCCAATCCACCGAAATCGCGGCACCAATCAGAAACGTTGGGGCGGGCTTTACACGATGACGACAGCACAGCGACGGTGAAGCAGATTTTGTATATTCACAAAGCGGTGTGATGGTTATAGTTGAACACTGTCATTAGCCCTCTATAACCGCCAAAGCTATGTTATTAAAATATTTTTTTTTTCACAAACATTTTTTTTATCATAGAGAATGTTTAAATTCTAATATCAGCTTACGAGGGAAACGGAGGCAGAGTTAGTGGTGCTTCAGAGACTGCTACTGCTGGAGATGATTCAGGAGAGGTCTGTGCACCTTTACCGATCAGAGCGCGCGCTGACACGGAGTAAAGCCTTGTTTATACTCAACGCGTCCGCACGAGCGTGAAGGTGCGCGGCAAAAATGATTTGAAACGAGTTCGGTGCGCAAGGCCGACCCCATTCCCCTTGGATGTGTACACGACTTTTTTTGTAGCGGCGCCGCGTCCGAGGATGAACGACTTCAATCCGAATCTGCCCGAGCATGCACGTCTCACCCATAGACAGTAAGGTCTCAGTTTGCGTACGTCTAAATTGCAAAGTTCATTGCGGTTAAGATTTTGTTTACTGTGTGTGATTTATATAATGGAAAGCACAATTTTAATTTTAAATAAACGTAGAGCAAGTAGCTAATCAGATTGTCTGCTCGATTATTCAAATAGACGAACGTCGCTCTGCAAACGTCATCTCCTTCAGCGCTCTGATTGGTTTTAGGTCTATCCAATTGCGCCCAGAGACATTTGAGCTACGCGGAGCTACGTCCGTTGGTGACGCCCCTTTGGAAATGATTTGTCTATGAAGCTAATTCAGTTACAAACTGAGAATGGTTTGGTTTTACCCAGCCTACTATATAAATGCAGTCTATTTACCATTTTACCATATTTAAATTGTACAACATGACAATGTGTAGCTGCCACGCTTGTCTACTGCGTCTTCTAAGGCAGGGGTTCTCAACTCCAGTCCTCGCGACCCACTGCTCTGCATATTGTGTATGTCTCCCTTATTTAACACACCTGATTCAGACCCTCAGCTCGTTAAGATAGACTCTACGGCTATCCCAACGAGCTGAGGGTCTGAATCAGGTGTGTTAAGTAAGGGAGACATACACAATATGCAGAGCAGTGGGTCGCGAGGACTGGAGTTGAGAACCCCTGTTCTAAGGCAGCGGCAGAACTGTTGAAGGCTGGTATGCACAGCTTTTTTCCATTCATTTACAAACATGCTCTGTTATATTGTCATTTTCTGCTCGTCCGGCACTTTGAAACAACGTACGCAACGTGACATAAGAAAGTCACAAAATCCAATCAGAGCGGTCAGACTGAAACGGATTTCCAGAATAGGATTGGGTAGGATTTCAAAACATCTATAACTTTAACTTGAAACGGAGTTGTAAAAATCACATTCGACGTGATTTTTTGCCACTCACACTAGATAAATCTGAAGGGATTTCAATCGAATATGCACAAAAATTGGATTTGGCCTGACAGCCTGAATGTAGCCTAAGTTGTCCTTAGGTGTGATAGCATGTGTATAAGAACTGTGATGAACTGGCCATCTGTCCAGGGTGTTACCCTGCTTAAGACCCCAAACACTAGAGTTCAGCATCACCACAACCTCAATAGGACAAGCAGTTTGGAAAATGATTGGATAGATACATGTAAACCCCCACCTTATATAAATTATTTTTCATAATAATCAAGTTTTAGCTCCTGTACCTTTAAGGCTGAATCCCAATTCTCTGTCTTACCCCTAGCCCTTGTCCCTCGAAACCGAGTGGTAAGCGCTAGTGCAAACATACCCCTATGAAATGAGACACCACTCGGTTACGTCATCTTGCATCGTCCTTAACTGGCGTCTGTGTCACCCGGGGCAACAAGTGTTGATCACAAACTTCTCGAAACTTTCAAGATGCCGTCAAAAAGTCCAGAATTGGGCTTTTGCTTTCCGTCTTCACTATTCATTATGTTTACATGCACAAGGTGTTGTTTCAATCGGACTGAATTCATTCAAATCGGTGAATCTGAATGTATTGTTGATCTAATATTCCCGTGTCAGTCGGGATCCGTTTGAAGCTGAATGCATCATATGAGAAGCTGATCACGTAGGTGTCAGTGTCAAATAATGTACACATAATGAATGGCGACTGTAGAAAGCAAAAGCTGAATCCCGGACATTTTGGGTGATCTTGAAATGTGGGACTGAAATCAGCAATGTAACGTTAGCATAGCCTAGCGTAGCAAAGTAGCGATTTTTAAAAACTTTAAAAACGTTTCAATAAACAACATAGTTGCAAATATATATGTACATAACTGTGTAGAGCACAAAACAAGACGGTCATATTTTTTTTATCAATCATTTAAGCGAAAAAACTTTCAACTCTGGATGGTATGCCCGCCATTGTTGCCAGTTGCGCAGTGCATATCTTACCCCTTGGTTTCAAGTAAGCTCGCGAAAATTCTTGGTCTTAAGGGGTATATACACCCCATTCACCTTACCCCTACCCCTAGATCAAAATGAGAATTGGGATAGCCCTTCCTCTCACGTGAACGCGCAAAACTAAGGGGAAGGGGTAAGACAGAGAATTGGGATTCAGCCTAAGACTTCTAAATGGTAATTACCTTTATGATTGACTAACCTGTTCACATGTGAAACTGACCAATGTAAGTCACACTTACATTCATCAGGGACTCTCATTTTACTGAATAGTGTGTTGATGTGTAAAGACAACGTCTCACTAACCAACCCAAAACAACTAGATTTTGGTCAGGGTTGTCTCACCTGCCGACTGTATTTGATGAAATCTCGCCCTCTTCTGTTGGAGGTCTGTCACATACTGTGATTAGATATGGCAGAGGGATGACAGCCTTTGAGTTTTCTCTCCAAGAAGCAGGACAACTTCTGGTTACTTGTCGACGGTTTGTTGACAACAGTATCTCTCTGAGACTCAAGCAGGACAATATATTGTTGCTTCTTCAGAGGCTCATTGGTCACTGCCATGGCCAAGTGATCACCCCACCGACTGAATGATCATTTCGACTGAAACAGAAGCTGATTTCTAGTCAGTAAGTCCATTAACTCAGCGGGGAGTTGAGTCACTGCGGCTGTTAAGGCTCCCCTGCTGAGAGCCAATTCTCCATCAACTATGCAAATGAGGATTATGATTGAAGATCTGCTGAAAAATCAGCTAGTGTAAACATTGGCGGTCATACAGTGCATTCAGAAAGTATTCAGACTCCTTCATTTTCATCACAACATTCTACAATCCATACTACCATAATGGCAAGGCTAAACCCAGATTTGTGATAACTGAACATTTGTTACAAATATCACATTGTATTCATTGCAATTATTCAGACCCTTAACACATTATTTAAGTTGAAGCACCTTTGGCATGCTCTACAGCCTAAGGCCCCGTTTACACGATGGGAAAACGCTGATATTTCTCTGCGTTTTGCCTCTCATTTACACGAAAACGCCGTTTTTATCACTGAAAACGATTATTTCTAAAAACTCCGGTCAAAGTGGAGATTTCTGAAAACGCCGGTTATGTGTTGTCGTGTGAACTGGGAGAAACGGCGTTTTAGGTTCTCTCTTGTCGTTTCTGAGGATTCTGATTGGCTTGAATGGCTTTATCCTTAACCCCTACACTGCCGCCAATAGGTTTGGCATAGTTATGATGGCGCTCGACGGCGTATTTATGCGGGTGTGTAAACGATGTTATTTTTGAAAACGGAGAGGGGGAAAATATTCGTTTTGCTAAATACCAGGCTTTGTGTAAACGTGGCCTAAGACAAGCTTCTGTCATTCTTCCCTGGAGATCCTCTTAAGCGCTCTTTAAGATGGATGGGGAACATTCAAATCCGGGATCAGGCTGGGCCAGACATTTACAGAGTTGCCCCTAAGCCACACTTGCATGTCTTGGCTGTGTGCTTAGGGTCTTTGCTGGAAGGTGAACCTTTGACCCATCTGTGCTCCTAAGGACTCTTAAGATATCTTAGTATTTTGTTGTGTTCAGCTTTCCTTTTACACTGACCATTCACCCAGTCCTTGCCACTCATGAACACCCTCTTAGCATGATACTACAACCACCATAGTTTTAATGGTATTGCCAAGGTTATGAGTGGTGCCTGGTTTCCTCCAGAAATGACGCTTGTAATCGAGATTCATCAGACCAGATAAAGCACAGTATTTTAGATGTCCTTTTTGCAAATTCCAAGCATGGTTAAATGGGTTTTGCACTGAGGACATGCTTTGGTGTTGTCACCCTGCCATAAAGCCCATATTGGTGTAGTGTTGTAGTGATGGTTGTAGTCTTTCTCCCGTCTCCATGCATGATCTCTGGAGCTTAACCAGAGTGACCATCAGTTTCTTGGTCACCAAGGCCCTTCTCTTGAGGCCAAGGCCCTTCTCTCGCAGTTTGGCCGGGCAGCAAGCTCTTGGAAGAGATCTTAAACCTTTCCCTTTTAAGAGATATGGAGGCCACTGTGCTCGTGTGAACCCATTAATGCCGCAGAATTATTTGTAGCCTTCCCCAGATCTGTGTCTCAACACTGTGCCCAGACACATTGTTTGTACATTTGACTGCATGGCTTGGTTTTATTTTGATATGTATTTTCAGCTGTCAGACCTAATACCTTATATGATCATGTCCCATCAAATCAAAGCGTAGATACATCCTCAGAGATAATCTTGGAGAAATTGGATGTAACCGAGGTAAACCCAATGTTTGTCATTATGGGGTATTGATTGAAAATTGTAAATTAAAAGCATTTTAGCATAAGGCTAGGCTTATGAATTTTAAAGTGCATTTGATCTGCAGAGATTCAAATAAGCAAGGAAAATCCCCCTTTCCATTATACATTCCCTTAAAACAGTGAATTGTCTTTGACTCGAAGGTTAGTAGTTGATGTGAATTGAGTTGAAGGCAGGGAAAGTGGGAAGCCTTTGAGTCCTGTTGTGTCAGAACAAGCTTTGTCATTTTGTGTAGCCGAATTACAGAAACATTGGTCTTTAAAACAAGGTGAGATGCACATCTTTTTACAGTAGGCTTCAAACAGGGTTGCCATGTCCCAAACCCTCTGTCATCCATGCAACGCTCAGAAGGGCATCCGCCTGTATCCTTCACATTCATGGCATCTTTCCCTCTTTTTCACCTGAGGGAATGTCGAGATTAACAGGGATGGAGGAAAGTCACCACAGAGTGTCTGACAGCAGTTCGGCATTTCTCTGTAATTGGCATTGCGCCAGGTCCACTTCTACATCCTCGCAGACTGGAGTGTCCGTCCTCCCCACCGTGAAGGAGCTTGTTAAGGGTCTCAGTGAAACTACAGAATAGGGGCAAAAAGCCAGTATCCCCCTTCCTTTCCTCTCAACCTGCTTAATGTGATTTTGGAATACATTTTTAGTTCTCTTTTTTTTTACACTGGGAAAGTGGAAAACATGCCAAGACTCTCTGATTTCCACAGGGAACTCTTGAAACCTGACTGAACCAGAGATCTCAACGTTTCGACAGCTTGAGGAATGGAAATCCCAGTTCTAATTGTGACTGAAACGCTGCTTGGCAAGCTCCTCCTGCCAAGCAGCGATCTGGGCACGATTAAATTTATGCCCATTATGCACATCAGCATATTAGACGGAACTCCACGTGGTGGACATGATGTCTCGTCCCCTGAAAAACTTGACAAGAGAAACTTGGCGTCCAGTGGGTGTCAGGCTGAATGTCCTCAGACTGTTGATCTTGAAACATGTCATGAGGAGACATACTTTATTAACAACGGGCTCTCTGATGGCTTGCTGGGGCTTTGGTCCCACACTAGTTAAAGTGAAGAATGTCAATTTGGCTGAAATGTGTCCAGCATTCACTAGCTTCCAATGCTCTCCCACAAAGATTTGATAATTTGACTTCCTGAGTAGGAACAGAGAAAGAAAAGAATAATTTGGACTTCAAAGAGAAGATATCAAAATGGACCCCAAAAATCTGTTATTTATTTGTCCTCATGTCATTCCAAACCTGTTTCATTTCATGAATATACATTACATTGTGAATCACTTTCCCATTTAATAAAGCTCCCAAGAGTGTCAGCAAAGAACTACATAGGGCTCACTTAAGTGAAAAGCAACCTGATATTTAAGCAATTTTGATGTTAAAAGTGTGGCTTTCATCCATGTTCCCATGTTGGAATCCAGTGCATCAAAGAAAAAGAAAAAAATCCGATAAAATTATAGCCATTCATTAGGGATCCATACTCGAAATTGACCAAAACCAGATTGATAACATTACTGAAGCACATTGTGAATACTGCTAGGTTGTCTGTAAGGGAAAGGTAACTGTAAAATCAGCACAGCAATAGGAGTGATGCGCAGGTTGATCCAAAATGAGCGGGTGCCTGCAGTAACCCGCGGGTACCCGGAGTTACGAGTCATCCAAAAATATTTTTAATGATATTCGGGTCGCGGTCGGTTGGGTCGTTTGAAAAAAGATGCTAATTAAACCTTTGTATTTGTATAGTACTAGACACAATTTTCTATGAAATATATAGGCCTACACTTTATTGGCTGAATAACTGGCACGAAGATGACGCACAAGCTCAGTCTAAACAGTTCTCGGTTCTGTACTGGTGATCCGAGAACCGCTGTACCTGTGCGTTCGGTAGTACGCGGATGCGCAGTATCAGCTGCTTGTGCTCATCACTTGTCTCAACAGTGGCACCAACATGTCAGTGAACTGTTGGAGTTACTGGAGTAAAATATACTCCGCGATATTGGTTTATTTCGATTCGGAGGAACTTGTCAGGCATGTCTGAAATTGAGTAACTTTAGTAACTTGTGGATCAGCACTGACACATGACGCGAAATGTTTCAAACGATTCAGTTCGATTTAGTGTACTGGTTCGACCGGTTCACTCAAAAGAACCTGTTCAAAAGAACGATTCGTTCACGAACCGGCCATGCCTATGATCACTACAGTCTGCAGAGAGATGGAGGCGGCAAGAGAAAAGGTGAAGACTGGGGAGTGGAAGCTCTGCAAATACACAAATAGAAAGAGTAAAAGTGTGGGAGACATTTGAAAATAATAATGAAAGATGATGACAATGACGCTATGATGAGCATTTGCTACTTTTAAAAAAATGCGGTCAGGAAGAGGGTCGGTACAATATTTTCTTACTTTTTTTGCGGTCCGAGTTGCGGGCGGGGTAGTTGAAAACGTTGGTCGGGTGCGGGTTGTTTATAAATTGGCCTGCGCATCACTGAGCAATAGCACTCAGTTTGGATTTTTGCATTTAAAAAACATCTAGAGGAAGCGAATATGGAATGTTATCAACAGACTGCAGGGCTCTTCTAACTCTTAAAATGTTCATGCATTGCATTTTTTTATTTTTATGATATTTCGTGAGATGTACATAATGGTATTAGGACTTTTACATAAAAACTGTCTGGTTTATCTCCAGGTAACTACCCACGGCCTCCTAACTATGGCGGAGCACCAGGTGCCAACTACAGTGGCCCCGGCCCAGGCATGAGCAACAGTCTTGGCATGAATGCCAGCAGTCCAATGCATGGGCAGGGTCCAGGGCAACCCTGTGGCTCTATGACTACGGCTCGAGGACCAGGGCATGCAGCCGGTGGCCGGCCTTACTCCGCAGGCTCCAGCAGTGTGGCTCCGACCTCTCCCAACATGCCTCAGTCGGCTGGCCCAGGGATGGGTCCACCTCCTCCTAATGTCAGCCGCAAGCCCCATGAGAGTAGCCCTGCATCTGCCCAGCAGAATCCAGTCCCCTCGGGCCAGGCCAGGTAAATCAGAGCCTTAATTCATTTTAAGTGCCTTTCTGCTTTACTTGAACAAGATGATTTGGTAATGTTTGGTCTAGATTTCATCCATAATGGGCTCTATGCACGACGTTATTTCCGGTGAAGGATTAAGGATGCTCGATAACTTCCGCCGATCATAGAGTCCAATGCAATACCGAGAATTTATATTGAATTTTATACTCCATGGTTATACTAATGAAACGTTAGTCACAAAAACAGATAAAACAGACACCCCTCGTTGTGTTTATGCTTCTTTTTAAAATTATATTAAATAAACATAAATATATATAAAATTACATCTAAACGTATGTACGTTTCGTTTCAAAGACGGGAGGACAGTAAATATTGAAGACTCTGCCATAATCCCGTTTTCTCCGGTTTTCCTCCGCTTTAATCTACACAACCGGAAATGGACGAGCATCCTTGCGTCAAATGCGGAACTTATGCGTGCATATAGCCCATTGACCGTTCGCAAAGACCCGCCCCCCCTTAGTTACTGTCGCTATGTCCGAAAAGCTACGCCGTTCTCATGCAGTGAAAAATACATTGCGGAGCAGAGAGGAGACTATGAAAACATGCTGACAGACAGGACAGACCAGGTTACTTTTCGGTTACTTTTGATATTAAACATATTAAACAAAGTATCACCTTTCAAATTTGGTCATTTTTAAAAATAAATTTAAACAATAAATACCATTTTGTGGCTCTTTAATGTGTCTGACAGATCGCTGTAGAGCATCAGTTAAAGGGATACTCCACTTTTTTGGGAAATAGGCTCATCATAAATCATAAATCATAATAGATTCATAATAGATTCTTATAGCCATTACCAATTTACCAATTCTGTTTATTTAAGCTTTTATCAGGAGCTCTATCATAACCAATTATACAATCTTTCTGCTCATGGAGCTTAAAATGTCTAAATACTGCATATTCAATCAGTTAATTTACAAAAAACATTCACTATCTTTTCATTGGATGTTGTTAATATTGATATCCCCTTTTTATTTGTTTTCCTGTGATTCAATAAGCGTTCTCATGTGAGGCAAGAGTGGAGAGAGAACAGCAAATGTGTGTGGTCGAGTGCTGTTAATGCCATTTATTCAGATAGATATTTATTTTGTCATATTCTCTATACCCCCAGAAGCATTTATGATTCAGAACGGTACACCATTGTAACTTTTATCCACCATCAATATGTCATTTTGCTCATCCCTCACTGGTTGGCGTCCACTGGACAGTCAATGCAGATTTTATGTCCCCAAATAATGCTAAGGGCAGGATTTGGGACAAGGCCAAACATGATATTATTCAGTGCACCTTTGAGATTTCATTTGTATTGAAAGTGAACAGGCACCAAGGAGACCTTTATGCTCTTCCCCCTGCTTCAGGCCTCCCTTTGGCAGGTCCCCTGTGTACCCCGGCCTGTCTGGGCCTGGGGGGCGGCCAGCCTCCTTCCCTATCCCTCACCCCCATCACCCTCACTACAGTCCTGCGCAAGGCCAGGGCCAGCCTCACACTGAGCTGTTTGGGTAGGTTTAAGATTGGACCCCTGGCTGGATGGCTTCACTCTGCTTGAGTCTGCTCGCATCCGCTAGAAACGGCACAAGCCAAGTGCTATGCATTAGCTCCTCCTTTCTTCTCCACCACGGCTATGTTTTATTCTGAGCATTTAAGAAGACTAACCATATAGCTTTCACAGAGAGAGGAGAAGCGTCCTCTGGAGAAAACGGAGGATGTTCTGTAGATTGGAGAACTGAAGCAGCAGCTTGTGTAGCTCAGAGATATAGTGGAGTGGAAGACTAAAAAGGTTTAGAAGGAATCGTTCACCCAAGAATGAAAACAATGAGTCTTCATGTACTCATATTTGTCTTTTCCAAAATCTGTTAACGCAGCTTTTTTCCATTAATATAACTCATAATTCAGATTTAAAATTGATGCATTCACAAGAAAATACGCATTGGTTATCACATGTTGAGAAACTATAGCAGAAGGGAATATTTTCAGAGAATAATGATTTATATTTTGGTCTGTTACTCATGTGAAGTTATTGCTGTGACTTCACAAAACTTTGGATATACTGGAGAAGAGCTGTGGGAAAATTCTTCTATCAGTTACACTTTATTTTAAAGTGCCTTTGTTGCAGTGTAATTATACAAAGAATACAGAGTAATATTAATTAACTACATGTACTATTATTTAATAAGTTTTGGGTTAGGGTTAGTTGCTTGTGAATATGCATAATATGCTGTTATAATTAAGCAAATGTAAGAAGTTTAACTGAACTGTAACCGAATATGAGTTTGGAGAAACATGGTGAACTTGTCCTTTAAGATATAATCAAAGATTAAATTGATTTTATATATATATATATATATATATATGAAGAGTTCAGATGCAAAAGCCTCTAAGTGCCATTTGAAATTTTCTTCTAGAATGATCATTTTTATCAAGCTTGTATATTTAAGTTCAGTAATTTCACTAAAATTGCAATGATTAATTGTCATTTAAGTGAAATTACTGAACTTGAATATATAAGCTTGATAAAAATGATCATTTTAGAAGAAAATTTCCAATGGCACTTAGAGGCTTTTGCATCTGAACTCTTCATATATATATATATATATATATATATACTGTATATATATATATATATATATATATATATATATATATATACATATTACAACTGCTTAATACACCTTTAAAATTAAATTTGCAATTACTTGTACAAATATTGCAAGTGCTGACACTAAAGACATGCTTTTAAAGGCTAAACGGCATATTGAAACTGCAGCTCTCATGTTCAACAGGGTGTGGAAATACTTCAAATTGTAACAATGCCTTTTGTCTCCAAACTAAGCATGTTTCGCCCACTTATTTTCTGTTTCTGGATTTAAAAGTGGACATTTTGTTGAGACCAAAATGAACCAAGTGTAAAAACTGTTTATTTTGGCCCTGTGGTTTCGCAGCCATTTTTATAATCTCAGGCTATATTATTCTAATTAATAACTGGGTAGCCCTAGTGCAGTTTCTAGTTTGAGTCGAGATGTGATTTGCAGAATTGTTGGTTGTTTTGGTAGCAGCAGTGTACAACTTTGACCGATTCTAGATTGTACCTTATTTAAGACTTAAAGTGTAACATGGACTACAAACAACACAGCACAAAGCAACAGCACTTCCTTTTCTTTTGTGCATTAATCCTGAATGTCTTAACCCTCTCTACTGTCCCTGCATATTTGTTGCTTGCCAGCTATTAGAAGTAAAGAAGAAAAGAAAATAAGTGTACTAACAACTTATCATTGAAATCTTCACAACTTAAACAGGCTCTTTTTAAATGTTTGTGTTCTGTTATCCATAGGCCAAGCGGTTACCAAGCTGGGTCCCACATGCTCGGAATGGCTCCTGGAGGCCCCTACAACCATCCACCGAGCAACAGCTCGGCCAGGATGACCCCTCAAGGACCGTCCTACAACACAATGCCCACAGGTAAGCGTGAGAGTTTTCATAGATATCTCAGTGTTTCAGCGATCAGATTTCAAGATTACAAATACGTATTTAATGTAAGGAATGTTCCAAATGTTTTAATCAGGGATGCAAACACACGTATGGTCAAAAAGGAGAGAGGTAATCGAAGCCCTCGCCCCGCGGAAAATATCCAGATACTTATATTGCCACCAACCCCTGCCATCCCCGGCCCACCCCTAGGCACATATAGTAAACATGTTTCAGCCTTTAAATCATTTTTCACAAAAAAAAAAAAGGTTTTATAAAAAACAAACCTCACATATTTCAGCCTTTAAATTATTTTTCACAAAAAAAGTGTTATAAAAAGATAAACCTCCCATATTTCAGCCTTTAAATCGTTTTTATAAAAAGAATGAGTCAAAAAATAAATAAATTACTTGACATTTACATTAAAGGGGTGATGAACTGAGAAATCAAATTTTCCTTGAGCTTTTGACGTCTAAGAGGTCATCATATTATAAGAATATCCTGTAAGTTTCAGAACTGAAAACGTCCTTGTTAGTCCAATAAAAGCTTTTATTGACACCAGCCTCAGCAAACGCGTTTTTGAAAGTGGGAAACTATGATGTCAAATAGGATAAACCACCCCCCCCCCTACAAAACTAGGGTAGAAAGTAGCCTATTACTTATTCATTTTGATGTTTTTTAATGTAAAAAACCAAGCGAACGTCATAAGTTGACCTCAGACAACAATATAAAAAATGAAAAAAGCCAGTTCATGACCCCTTTAATGCACATTACCTTATCTTTTCTTATTAATAGTAAAATTAATAATGAGTAACGACAAAGAAGTTTTAGTAGCTAATAGATTTTCACCACCGAAAAATGCTTTCTGTAGCTCTGCTACAAGATTTACTTACGGAGAATAGAAAAACACCGGTAGCGTTTGAACGTACCCCATCCTTCATGTTTACTTAGCTTTCAATGGTGGGAGGTGCCGAAAAGTGCTAATGCATGAAAACCTGCAAAAAATGCAAACTCATTACCAACACAAGATAACGCAAATGTAAAATAAAAATGAAATGTTCTCGGGATAAATAACCAGCGGGCAAATATTACAGACGATTATGGGATTATAAGCCCCCCTGTAGTCAAGAATTTCATCACTGAAAACTCATCTATGATCACCAAAATGACATATGACATGTTCTATGAATATGCAAATGAGCCCCGCCTCCAGCTCAGAGATCCTTTTGTTGATGATTGCACGTTGATCTGATTGGTTACGAGGTAGTTTGTGACGTCAGAAACACCAGCGATTTCGAACCTTCGTTTTGAGACTGTCTTTGGTTCACTCAGAGAAAATACTCCGCAATGGTGTCGACTTAAAGCATGTTAAAAACACCACATAGACGTATAAACAACATCACAAGATGGATTTTCATCCATCGGGAGAAGCAGAAATTGTGATCATGATTAAAATACGATTGATCGTGTAGCTAAAGTATTTCTTTAATAAAAAAGTTAAAAATGTATCTTACTGGAATCTTACTAACCCCAAAATGTTGATTGGTGGTGTATATTGAGAATATTCAATACATCTGGAGTTTAACGCCTTATTTTGCTTTCAGTACAAAGTTATTACTTGACTACTTTGAATATATACCTTTGTTTGGAGGGTGTGATCAGATGTTTAAGGGTCTGAATTTCCTGTAGGACCTATGACAGGCTCAGGGGACACCATGATGCCCACCGATCCCAAACTGAGAGCTGAGCACAAGGAGGAGGGCGGTACACCAGCCACAGATCCCCCTAAGCCAAAGGTATGAAGACATCTTTCTCTCTCTGCTCACAGATAACTCTAAGTCCCTGTAAATAGTAACATTACTCTAAAACCTTCTCTGTAACAGCCTACAAACAGACTCTGACCTTTGCTTCAACCATAACTCTGTTAATATCTGCTCAGTAAAGGTGTAAAAATGAGTGTGTCCTAACAAGTGTCAAAAGTCTTAGTCCACTTTGAAATGTCATTGGTTGAATCTCATGCTTGAATCTCGTGTTTTAACTTGCATTTTAACTTTCATCTATCTTTTGCTGCTGGAATCTTGCGTTGTACTTGGGACATGGTGTGAGAGTTAAAATTAAACACCATAATTATGTAATTGAATAATTGGTTATAGCCCAATTATTATAATAATACCCATTTACCAAATCCACCAAATCTAGATCACCAATTTGCTTCCAGCACGGGCATGTTCAATACAGCACTGCCGAAAAATGAAACTTTAAAGGAGTAGTTCACTTTTAAAAAAAACTTTTGCTGATAATTTACTCACCCCCATGTCATCCAAGATGTCCATGTCTTTCTTTCTTTAGTCGAAAAGAAATTAAGGTTTTTGATGAAAACATTCCAGGATTTTCTCCATAGAATGGACTTCAATGGGAACCAAACAGTTCAAGGTCCAAATGAGAGCTTCAGTGCAGCTTCAAGGGGCTTTAAACGACACCAGACGATGAATAAGGGTCTTATCTAGCGAAACGATCGGCCATTTAAAAAATAAATAAAAAAGTTAAAGTTTTATAAGTTCAAATGCTTGCCTTGCTCTGTTCTGTGATGAGCGTTCGTGACTCTCCTGTTCAAACTTGTTTAATCAAAATAAACGAATCTTTTTTCGAGTCATGACTCGAAGGGTCCTACAGTAGATAAGACCCTTATTCATCGTCTGGTGTCGTTTAAAGCCCTTTGAACTCTCATTTGGACCTTGAAGCGTTTGGTTCCCAATGAAGTCCATTATATGGAGAAAATCCTGGAATGTTTTCATTAATTTTCTTTTCGACTGAAGAAAGAAAGACATGGACATCTCGGATGACATGGGGGTGAGTAAATTATCAGCAAAAGTTTTTTTTAAAAGTGAACTAATCCTTTAATATTGTTTTAAATAACCACAGTTTGCACCAGAGCATTGGAATAGACTTAGATTTTGACCAAATTGACTTTTTTCCCCCAAACAATTGTCGTCATTGTAAATATTTACTTCCTACTGCTCGCAGCTCTTCTAGTTTATCATTCTGTGGTTTACACTCCCTAAACTGAGCACTGGAAGTATGTTTTTCTTCAATAGTGTTCAATTTCACCGTGTTATTCAATAACCCAAGGAATATAATTCTCTCATGTGTCCTAATGAGCGCACATCTAAGCTCTGGAAGACCTTGCTTCAAATCTTTCTTGTGTTAACTTGTTCTTTCTCAGTCATTGCCCTTACTTTCATCAGAACTTCATTGTGTCATTAAGTTCAGCTTTCATTTGATTGGCTGAGATGTGGCGCAGTAGCGGAGCATTCTCTCTCCGAACTCATCTTTCCATTCTTGCTTATGTGTCATTTTGTTTTGTTTTGTGTCATTAGTAATTCGATGTGATGTTTTGTCATCTTACTGATTAGAGGGAAGTAGTTCTGTCACCTTTAAAACATGCTCAAATCATGTCCTTTGTTTTCTTGCTAGCTCATGATAATCTTCACCTCATGGCATCAGTCGTCAGTAGAGCACGGCTTTTTTAATTTAACGCGTAGAAAGCTTCACAGCAAACAGAAGTGCCTTCAAACATTGACCTTTATGTGCCGTCCAGCTGGCTGCGTTACAAGCTTTGTGTGTGTGTGTGTGTTTGTGTGCAATACTGTAACGAGTAAAACAAGTCCTGCAATCTAACACAGAGCTACTTGAATTGAGCTTTCTTTAGTCCAGCTCGGAGTGGTGCCAACTTCAGCCAAAACAAAAGACAGAGTACAAAAAGAGTGTGACAGACGATGATTTGAAGAGTTATACACAAAGTTTGACAGTTTTTTGCCAAACTTTCTGAATGCGTGTCATACTAAAGACAGTAGGGGCGTAAATTGTGAATGTTTTCGACCTATTGTGGATCGAGCTATCCTATTCAGTCCCTCCAGGATTTCACGATTTTTTTTTGTGATTTTTGCATTTTTTTGTGATCAAAATGACTGATTTTGTGGTGGTAATTTCCAAAAATTTGTGAAAAAATTTGCGATTTATATATAACATTTACCATACTAGTATTCAGTCCTTCCAGAAAAACGCGGAGTTTTTTTGATTGATTACGCGGCCCGTTTTCTTAAAAAAGCGATGGAATATGCGGCATATTTATGCAATTTTATGCGATGAAATTCCAGGAATTTGCAAAAATTGCGGGAACTTGCAAAAATTGCGGTTTGATGAAAAAGAGAAAAAAAGTGATTCCCCCGAACATCCTGTTCTCACTAGGCTAATGTAAGAGTCATTTCTTATAATTTCCTTTGATAAGCAAGCATACTACATCATAGAAAGTGCTGGGAATATTTAATTTCTCATCTTGTTTTATTTAATACTGTAACGAGTGTTAATAAGGTGTGGCCCCTTTAAGAGCTGCGCGCTCCCTGTTGAACTCTCTGCAGTGTTATATGTGCGCCTCGAACACCCCATGTGTGCGGATAATTTCTGTTTGATGCTACTTCTTTTATCTTATGTTGTTTATTAAGTAACGATGTGATGGTAGAACGAGTACGAGTTCGATTTGTGAGATGTCAATCGCCTCCGTGAGTCTGTCTGGCGTCACGTAATTGCGTCACTTCATAACAGGGAAACAGGGGGAAATGGCTGCTCTTGTGTGAAGCAAACGCAACATTTTTCAACTTTCTGCTAAGATACATGTGACTTTTTTTGCAACGAAAATGCGAGGATTATGAAATTATGCAAACCCCGCATATTTTGCACGGAAATCGGCAATTTATGCGGCGAAAGTGCGGCGTATTTGAAAAAAATGCGGCCCCCGCATAAATATGCGGACCTTGGCTGATTTTGCATTGAATTCAGCGATCGCATAATCGCGTTTTTCTGGAGGGACTGTCTATTGCACTGACAGGGTGCCAGTACTGATTAGCGTTCAATTCGTGAATGAGCTTTTTATGATGACTCGACTACGCCAAGGTCATTTAACGATAACGGTTACTATATCAACATGCGATAATGATAACATGCGAGACTAAAGTGTCATTAACCCTAAAACCGTATTCTGGACAAATGTGGGCAAAATAGTTTTGATTTATTTTTTAAAAATACTTCCCTTGATCTGAGCGGTACAAGAATTGGCTACTTTTCCTAAGTTTACCTCCTGAACACACACAATTTTTTTTTACTCAATTCTACAATGTTCAGTGGGTGAAAAACAAACTCTTTAATCTTGTATTTGGGTCAAAAATGGGCACCCATAGAAATGAATGGGAAAACTGTAATTTAGAGCATTTTAAAAAAGCTCTAAGAACTTATTGGAATTATATTTTAATGTAGTAAAAAAAAAAAAAACATAAAAATAAGCATAATTTACATTGAAAATATGGTACTTTTTGAAGTAAATAAATTCAAAAATACTCAAAAAACCATAACACCATAAATGGATAGACAAAACTTTATCGAAGACAGTGATATAACATTTATAATAAATAAAAATTAGGATCACACCTGAGTCCTCTGTGCCCACATTTGTCCACAATTACAGGGTTAAGGGCTATAAAGTGAATAATAAGGTTTGAGGGCTACAAAATAAAACTATCAAAATCCCTCTTTATTTTTGTCGGGAAAAAAGAGGAGACAAAATATACTGGCATACTGGCTTCTCTCTATATTGTTTGTGGTAGATACATTTTCTCTTGTTTTAAAAGAAAAAAAATATTAGGCTAATGTAATTTGCAATTATTGGAATTACTATTAGGAAATTTACTGTTTTATTTTCGAGAATTTTCTTGTTTTACCCGTTTTCATAATGTAGAGAGACGAGAGTGTGTTAATATATATGATAGCCTACAATAAATAAACAGTGACAAAGAAACTAATTATAGCATATAGAAAACCAAGCTATAATAGAACTAATACACAAATGAAATAGACCATAAGAAATAAATTCAAAGTAATGAAATTAAATATATATTTATTCTTATTAAAGTTACAAAAGTGATTCAGTCTGTTACAGATATTCAGTTGTGTTTGTTCTAAGTTTAGTTTTAGTTGTATTCAGTCGTTCCTGCATGTGTTCCTTTGCTTCAGTTTCTCCTTTGCTGTCATGGACATTCATTTAATCATCACGGGTGTTTTTCGTTTGTTCGCTCATTCAGCCAGTGTTTAACTTTGCTCTGTCATTCCTTCAGTTGTCGATTGTTAATTGTGTTAATGCTTGTGTTCGCATTTGACACACTGTTACACCAGTCCGTCTTTTGTTTAATAAACCACGTTTCAACTTTTTAATCCTGCCTTCTGTCAGTCTTCATCTTCAGTCTGCGTAACGGTCAAGAGCAAGGAGAGATTTTCTCTTATTTGTTGTTTGATTAACATTAATAACGACAGCAGGTAAATTTGGATGCTGTCACTTTAAGACCGACTGCATGGATCCAATATACTACTCATGCGTTTTCTTTCTTAACTCTTTATGTTTACTTTAGACGTACAGTAAATGACTGTGTTAACTATCAAAGACTTGGTCACTTTGACACACAAATATGTGTATTTACCCGTTTAAGCCCAAATATTTGGCAAAAAGTACTCAGTTTGACAGCGCTGAGAGCACACGTATGTAGCGAAATGAGTTGTCTCTTTTTCATTAGCTCAAATCCCTGGTTTTTTAACCCCAATACTTAAGAACGCCTGCAAACTTCATGTGAGCGTAACCGCGATAGTGACGATTGTCCAAAATCTCTACCGGTTAATCGTGTCTGCCGGTATATTACCCACCCCTACTCTGTTTTAAAGGATTAGTTCACTTCAGAATTAACATTTCCTGATAATTTACTCACCCCATGTCATCCAAGATTATCATGTCATTCTTTCTTCAGTCGAAAAGAAATAAGGGTTTTTGAGGAAAACATTCCGACATTTTTCTCCATATAGTGGACTTAAAGGGATACTCCACTTTTTTTGGAAATAGGCTCATTTTACCACTCCCCCAGAGTTAAACAGTTGAGTTTTACCGTTTTCAGATGTATTCAGCCGATTTTCTGTTATTTAAAAGAATATCAGTAATCAGATAGTTTCTGGTCTCATTGACTTCCATAGTATATTTTTTTCCTACTATGGAAGTCAGTGAGACCAGAAACGGTCTGGTGACTTATATTCTTCTAAATATCAGAAAATCGTCCGAATGGGTTTGAAAACGGTAAAACTCAACTGTTTAACTCTGGGGGAGTTGTAACATGAGCCTATTTCCAAAAAAAGTGGAGTATCCCTTTAAAGGGGAAGCAACGGGTTGAAGGTCCAAATTGCAGTTTCAATGCAGCTTCAAAGTCTCTACACGATCCCAGCCGAGGAATAAGGGTTTTATCTAGCCAAACAAAAAAAAAAAAAAAAAAAAAACATTTGTGTACTTTTTAACCACAAATGCTCGTTTTGCGCTTGCTGTGATGTCACGTTAGTCGAAACATGGTAGGCGAAGTACCGATCTGGGGTGCGCTTCCCGAAAGCATCGTTCGCCAACTATGGTCGCAAGTTCCGTCGTTACCAATAGAGTTCAATGGAAATTGCGACCATAGTTGGCTAACGATGCTTTCGGGAAACGCACCCCTGGTGTTTAAAAAGTGAACGTGCACAAACTAAGTTAAACGTCCTTTACAAAAATAAAAGGTAAAACAACAATGTCGGACGATTACGAAATTGGAGGATAAAATGCGATTGAGTTTTTTGCCCTACCCTACATTTTTTTAACCGGAACACGCGTAACCTTTAAACGTGATGGCTTCATGCGTGGCGCATCAAAGCTAGTGCAGGACGAGCATTTGTGGTTAAAAAGTATATAAATGTTTTTTTTATTATTTATAAAATGAGTGATGGTTTGGCTAGATAAGACTCTTATTCCTTGGCTGGGATCGTGTAGAGGCTTTAAAGCTGCACTGAAACTGCAATTTGGACCTTCAACCCATTGGTTCCCATTGAAGTCCACTATATGGAGAAAGATCTTGGAATGTTTTCCTCAAAAACCTTTATTTCTTTTCATCGTCAATCATGGATGACATGGGGCTGAGTAAATCATCAGGACATTTGTATGAAAACTTCTTATTTATTGAATCTTTGTATAACAGTGTAATCATGCTCTTGGTCTGATTAACAGCACAGCTGTGATTACCTTCCACCAATTCCCTCTTGCTTGTGTAATCTGTACATTCCCTGCAAATCTTTATTCGTTTATATAACTTCTAAGCTAGTTTGCGATAGCATACAGTTGATTTAAAAAAAAAAAAGACTAGAAATTACTTCTTAGTGAAAAAAACGAAACATGGGCCAGTTCTGGGAGTGGATTGCGCATCGTTTCGGTGGACAAAGGTGATTTGAAAGCTGTCTCTCGCCATTCACAATGTGTGTGGGTTTCTCTTTCTTCCCTATGTGTTCTCCCATCACAGGACAACTACGGTTCTCAGTGTGTCTCCCAGCCTCCTACCCCTTCCCCTTTGTCCCCCAGCCCAGCTAGTCTGTCCTCTTATCAGGGGGACGACAGCGATAGCATTAGCAGCCCTGCCTGGCCAAAGAACCCCAGCAGCCCTGTAAGTGCCTCATGCACTTTTACTCTCTTCTCTTTGTTTTCCTGCTTCTCTTTCTTCTTTCTGTGGTTATTTAGGTCTCCTGTTTGATGGTGTGAGCTGTTTTGACCGCAGATATGATGTAATTAGAGTTTCTCATTATGACACTCTACCACAAGATTGTTATACTATCCCCCAATTTCTTTTCATTTGTATCGTGTGTTGGGGAAGCTACTTTAAAACGGTTTCTTGCTAAGCTGCTCATAATAAGAATATAGAGCATTGTTAGGTAATAGCATTATAAACGATAACAATTTTGGCATAAAAAGGCACAAAAACCATCAGCTGTTGGTTAAAGAAATAAATAAGCAAACCGATTCACTTTGCAATGCTACGTGTGAGGGTGCGGGACAGTATTACATCTTGATTTAATTATTGCATGGCTGTCAATATAATGTGACAAAAATTGTGAGAAATTAGCTCGTCACTGGAAAAGCTACTCTGTTTTGAGAACAGCTGAGCTGCAAAAATGTCAGTAATTAGTTATTTTCCAACACGGGTAACTTTGTAGTTGTGTGTGATGTATTAAAATACATTCAAGAAGGATTAGGGAAGAGTTCACAGCAATCTTGTACATGGCAAATCAGCTTTTCACCAAAGTTTGAGGGGGAGTCATGAGGGGGAGTAATTGATTACTGATGTTTCATTCTTGGGTGAACTAACCCTAAAGTTTTTTTTTTTTTAACATTTTGCTGTGTTTACAGTAAAATAGTAAGTCCAGTCACAGTATTGTACTCAGTGGCTAGCGTTATTCTAAATATTCATATTTTTATTATAATTTGTGGCCAAAAAGTAGCGCAAATACACTCTCCTAAAGGATTATTAGGAACACCACACTAATACTGTGTTTCACCCTGTTTCGGCTTCAGAACTGCCTTAATTCTATGTGGCATTGATTCAACAAGGTGCTGAAAGCATTCTTTAGAAATGTTGGCCCATATTGATAGGATATCATCTTGCAGATGATGGAGATTTGTGGGATGAACATCCAGGGCATGAAGATCCCGTTCCACCACATCTCAAAGATGCTCTATTGGGCTGAGATCTGGTGACTGTGGGGGCCATTTTAACTCATTGTCATGTTCAAGAAACCAATTTGAAATGATTCGAGCTTTGTGACACGGTGCATTATCCTGCTGGAAGTAGCCATCAGACGATGGGTACATGGTGGCCATAAAGGATGGACATGGTCAGAGACAATGCTCAGGTAGGCCGTGGCATTTAAACGATGCCCAATTGGCTCTAAGAGGCCTAAAGTGTGTCAAGAAAACATCCCCCACACCATTACACCACCACCACCAGCCTGAACAGTGGTAACAAGGCATGATGGATCCATGTTATCATTCTGTTTACGCCAAATTCTGACTCTACCATCTGAATGTCTCAACAGAGATCGAGACTCATCAGACCAGGCAACATTTTCCCAGTCTTCAACTGTCCAATTTTGGCGAGCTCTTGCAAATTGTAGCCTCTTTTTCCTATTTGTAGTGTAGATGAGTGGTACCCGGGGGGGACTTCTGCTGTTGTAGCCCATCCGCCTCAAGGTTGTGTGTGTTGTGGCTTCACAAATGCTTTGCTGAATACCTCGGTTGTAACGAGTGGTTATTTAGTCAAAGTTGCTCTTCTATCAGCTTGAATCAGTCGGCCCATTCTCCTCTGACCTCTAGCGTCAACAAGACATTTTCGCCCACAGGACTGCCACGTACTAAATGGTTTTCCCTTTTCACACCATTCTTTGTAAACCCTAGAAATGGTTGTGTGTGAAAATCCCAGTAACTGAGCAGATTGTGAAATACTCAGACCGGCCCGTCTGGCACCAACAACCATGCCACACTCAAAATTGCTTAAATCACCTTTCTTTCCCATTTTGACATTCAGTTTGGAGTTCAGGAGATTGTCTTGACCAGGACCACACCCCTAAATGCATTGAAGCCACTGTCATGTGATTGGTTGATTAGATAATTGCATTAATGAGAAATTGAACAGGTTTTCTTAATAATCCTTTAGGTGAGTGCATAAGCCAACACAGCTCAAGGCTGAAATCATGTTCAGCTAGATTTGAAAAAACTAATTCAAACAACAAACCCATTCCTTGTAAGCGTGAGCACACTTGTCCAATAAAACTTATTTTGATTCCAAAATGCAACCAGAAAATATTCCAAATCATGTTATGTCAAAAGTTTTAAATGGTATTGTTTTTACAGAACAATGTTATTTGCATTTTTTGTGGTTTAAATGTGGCCCTCTTGGCCTCTGAACTTGAGTACCCCTGCCATACATTGTACACGCAGTGTTTCTTTGAGCAAACCGTGTCATGCACAAGCACAGATAGACCACAAGTGCTGCTCTAGCCCTTTTCGCGAAACATTTTTTCTTTAAATTGGGCGCATGGCATCTCTGGTCACAACCCCAAATTAAACCACTATTACAATCTACATAGAGCCAGCATTAATAGCCTTCCATTAAGCTTTACAAGAAGCGACCGAGTCTGGTGTAAAATAGCATTGCCCAGGATAGGAAATGCCACCAAAATGAATAAAAATGCCCACATATTTCAAGATATGAATTGTCCCTGTATGAGATTTTGTATTTTATGTCACTTTTTTATGAGAAAAAGTGTCGTTTTCCTGAATATCAGCACAATTGCAAATGTGATATTCATTTTAACAAAAAAGTTCAATAAACAATATTCATTTAAAATTCTAAACACGATAATGTGAGTTTTTGCTCTATTTAACCAATGATAATAGTTCCAGACAAAGAAGTTGCGTCTCCCTGCAAATGAACGAATTTCGAACGAGTTTCTTTGATTTATTGTTGATGTGAAGATAAAAATATTTTGTATGTATCTGGTGGCTTTTAGAGCTATATTGCGTTTATTGAAATTTTGAAGGTTTATCCGTGTCTGGAGCCCGGACACTTTAATTTAGGTCCATTTGCCTAATTGGATTTAAATTGTTATTCCTGGCTGTCGCCACTTTTACAATTAAGAGTCTAATAGTGTATTATTTCAAATTTTTTATATATGAAGAGTTCAGATGCAAAAACCTCTAAATGCCATTTGAAATTTTCTTCTTTAATTATGATTTTTATCAAACTTGTATATTTAAGTTCAGTAATTTCACTTAAATAACAATTAATAGGTAATTATCATTGCCATTTAAGTGAAATCACTGAACTTAAATATACAAGCTTGATAAAAATGATCATTCTAGAAGAAAATTTCAAATGGCACTTAGAGGCTTTTGCATCTGAACTCTTCATATATATATATATATATATATATATATATATAGTCAACATTTTTGATTTAAAACACTAACCATGTCACATTATTCATGCAATTTTAATCGAAGTGTAAATAAATCTAAATAATAATAGTATAACATAATATATGATATTTTTTGTCTGTTATGCACAACATTGATTTATCTCATTTACAAATTCCAGCATAATACCAACAGAGGACCTTTTTTTTTTTTTTCAAATGTGCGAGTAATTTAAAGATGTTCCACAGTGTGTAACTAACTTATTTTTTAAGGTAACTTTTATATTAATTATGAGAGACTTGAGCTCCTGCCCAGGCCATGCATCAATACTCATACCTGTCCAAAATGGTTAAAGGGTGAACTTTACTAGCATGAGACTGTCAGAACGGGACATATTGACCAATGTGGAGAACACTTTTTCTCGAGACAAAGAGCGATGGGCTTCACGGTATGGGTGTGTCGGTGGCGATATATATCTCACCCTGTTCTGTATCCATCCACCCCTAGAAGCTCAGCACGGGGAACATGACGAATGAGAAGATCACACGACTGTACGACATGGGCTGTGAGCCTGAGAGGAGGGGATGGGTGGATCGCTACATCTCCTTCATGGAGGAGAGGGGCACGCCGGTCCCAAACCTGCCTTCAGTGGGCAAGAAGCCGCTGGATCTGTGCCGCCTCTACCTCTGTGTTCGAGAAATCGGAGGCTTGGCTATGGTGAGCAGTTTTTTCGGGTGTTTCTGCGAGAGTGCTGTTCGTGCTGGGGTTTTAAAGGAGCAGAGCTGTGTAATGCATGTTAAAGATTCTTCCTCATTCTTCCTCATATCTGCCTCAACCATCACCACAGACATCAAAGAAACAGAGAAGGGAATTGGCTGAGAACACACCGCACCTGCTGATGGTGTTCTTAATTCGCACACGCTCTCCGCATTGGTTTTGCGCCTATGATCCATGGTTCATGGATGACAATATTCCAGAAAAGAGAAAAAAAAATGGCCTGACAAGATTGTTACAAAGTAAACATCCTTTTATATCAGGGGATGAAACAGGAACTCCCTGCTACAAATTTGTGTGACATTTTAAACCTGGTCTAGATAATAACATTTAGAAACATATTGATGTGTCCTTGTTACACTTTACATGTAATAACAGTAAATTACACATGATTATAAGCAACTAACACTGAACCAAAGGCTAATGCCTGGTTCAGATTACACGATTTTAGCCCGATTTTGGCACGATCCGTTTGACGTAGGGTGTCGTGGGGATTCGTAAACGACAACGGCGTCGGGACACAAGATTCGATCGTATCATCTCGTATAGTGTACGTTGCGTCTGTGATGCTTCACGACAAAAAGACTTGCATGTTTAATTTTTTTTAGCGGTCGTCCACGATGGTTCCGTCACATGCATGAGGTTGACCAATAGGAGCACAGAAGCTTTTCCATACACAACTTTCAAAAATGGCGAAAAGACGAGACGATGTCTCATCTCGACAAACGAGAGACGATGGTGCTAACGTTAAAACTAAAGTAAAAATATATAAGAAAACAATATTTTACCTCAAGTTCTCTTTGGAGGATTGGCAGCCCAGACTGTCCTCTTCGAGCAATCCAGGAATGCATTAGCTAACTTGATCTAATATATGATAAGGTGTATTAAAGCATTTTTTTTTTAAATGTTCATTGTTTATTCATGTTCAAGTTCACTATGCATAAATGTTAACAGACGCAACTTTTGATTAAAAAAATTATTAAATGTTAAAATTAACAAAAAAAATCAATGCTGTTGAAGTATTGTCTAATGTAGTTTACTTTTGTTAACAAATGAAATCTTATTGTTAGCGTTACCATTTTTCACGCTGGTGGAACAAACGCACATGTCTCATAACACATGACAGTACAAAAATAATGAACGTAAACAACTTATTTACGGATATTGTTAGAACTAAAAAAAAATGTTTGTAAAGGTGCGTTTACAGCGTGACGAAATTACTATTTATGAGACTGATAGCTTCTCTAGCTTTACATTTAAGATCAACACGTTTTTTTTCCTTCTTTTACAACATTTGCAACATAAAACAATGTTTTAAAGAGATCAACTAATAGCTGTAACTGCCACAGACCCCCTGTTAAAGACCCCTGCTTTAAATAAAGTTTTTGTTTACCGCCAGCTTCCTGTGGGCGGTAATAGCGCAATGCTAATCATTTCTGGCTAACAGCGATTATGTTGGTAAATCCTGTGCATTCTATAATGAGCCTCATTTACATAGGAAATAGGTATGTTTATCAAAAAAAAAAAAAGGACAAAGATTTGATTTTTATCAACACATATAGCGCCTGGATAAGCTAAACCGGGGGTGGCGTGTGAATCAGTCACAGGGTTAGATGGTCAAACCACTCACTGAATTGATTGTTTCTTGACTGGTTTTGATTGAAATTTTCTCCTCGAACAGGTGAATAAGAACAAGAAATGGAGAGAGCTGTCCACCCACCTGAATGTGGGAACATCCAGCAGCTCTGCCAGCTCCCTCAAGAAGCAGTACATCCAATACCTGTTTGCCTACGAGTGCAAGGTGGAGCGTGGAGAGGAACCACCGCCTGACGCGTTCAACATGGGAGACGGCAAGAAGCAGACACAGCAGGCCAAGATCCAGCCACCCTCACCTGGTGAACAACTTTACAGCATTACTGCGGGAAGAACAGACTGTTAGACTGTAGACATGTTTTATGTGCTATGCTGTTTATTCAGGTTAAACCCTTTATTTTGCCTTTTTTGTAGCTTTTAAATAGGGTTAGGCCGCGTTTCCATCGCAGGAACTTTCCCCAGGAACTAGGGACTTTGGGGTGGGACCATAGACAGTATAAGAAGTGGACAGAGCCATCTCATTGGAACTACACAACTGAAGCCCATTTTTAGCGATTTTTTTATGACTTCCGTTCCTGATGCGCAGACTCAAACCGACTCAAACAGAGCTTGACGACGTAGATGTGATGTGAGCGACCCGTCTGTCTTCTAGTGGCTGTGGCATGAGAAATCTGAATCATTCCCTTCTGAAACTTGCAGAGGTGGGTAGTGTGAGTAGGGTAGAGGTGGGAGTGTGAGTAGGAGCTGTCCATGAGCTAGGAGAAGGAAACACTTTTGCTAGGTATTCTGATTGATTATTTTGTCATTTTGCCTCCACGTTTCCCCGATTGCCCACTAGCTTCTCCTCCTGTCCATACGGTAATCTCTTCACTGTGCGACAGAGAGTTGCGTGGTTATGACGCAATCGTTAGCCTACGTTTACAAAAAACTGCTTTTACGGGGCCATAACATACGTTACAAGGTAATGGAGCATTATATACATTGTCGTGTTTCTTTAGAAATAAATAATGGACAAATGGGGTCTTCAAACGCCTCAAATGTAAAGTTATTCGCTGTCAAAGTGACGCCAAAATGAATGGGCGTCAATGCCAACTCAAGTGACGTTTTGCTACAAGATGGCGGCACCCGGCCGGCTTCAACTTCCGGTCGATGGATTACCCCTTGGGTGGGACTCGGTGTCTAAACAAAGTTCCGGGTAAATATTTCCCCCTCCGAAAGTCCCAGTGACGAGGCAGTGTTTTTTTCAAAGTTCAGGGACTGTCAGGGGTTGAACATGTTGATTGGTTGAGTTCATGCCGCATTTTGATTGGTTGACTCCATGAAGGATTTTAGTTTTGCAGTAAGAGTTGTTTGCTATTCAAATCAACAATGGCATTTAAAAAATACGACCGATGACGACGTTCAGGCTTTATTAAGTTTATACGTGGAGGTCCAAATCCAGCGGGAACTGTAAAGTAGCGCGCAGTCCTACGTCACTGGACTAATTTGCCCAATCTTCACAGTACTTTAGACCGCGGTGGAAACGCTGACAGCAACAGAAAAAAAAGTTCATGGGAAAAAAAGTTTCTGGAACGAATTGTTCCAGATAATTTCGGTGGAAACGCGGCTTTAGTGAAAGTGAAAAGAAATGTGAGGACCGAGTATGGGAATATTTGTCCTGTGCATTTAACCCATCCAACTTGTCAGATAACAAGCTTGTTGAAGAAAACCATGGTGAAGCTAGATTTCGGAACAAATATTAGTCAGACCAGTTAAAATCCTTATCCAGTGACTTATCCTTATCAACACTCATCCAAACATCAACGATCCAAGCAACTTTGTGGGCAATATTTTGTGAAAAGTGTTTCAACCCTCCCAATTACTTAGCTGTAATAGTGATGCTATTGGAGTCCAATATAATCTTCATGCCATTCTTCGAATCATCTGGATCTCTCACATGTCGCTCTGGCCTGCCTGCCTTATAATGAAGTCAGAGCGGCTCTACACGGAGCTATAAATATCTGACAGGTGATTGATTCAAACTGAGGCGGAAGGGGGAGGGGTGAGGAAGAAAGAGAGCTGCCAAGCTGCTGGCTTAAGGATTCCCGTTCCCCCTCTACCTTAGGCTAATGACTCATGACGTCACAGAAAGAGAGCAAGAGAGAGAGAGCTGTCAAACAGCAGGGGAGGGATTCCCTCCAAGAAGATTAATGGGGGAGGAGTGTGGGATAAAAACAAAAGTGACCTCAGCCTGACCCCTCGCTCAATGCAGACCAGTGAGCCAGCGTTTTTATTTTCCATCTCTCTTTCTCCCGCTCTCTCCGACATGGGGAATATGCGTAAGGTCATGGGCGGTCACACAGACTGGAAGTGTTACAGCATAGCACCATGTATTGTTTACTTTCAGTGCTGAAAGATGGTTTTGTGGCTGGCAGCAGATCAAGGACATGTAAAGCAGACACTCTTTCATTCCCTCGTTCTTTCATTGTAACCCAATTCTTTTAGTTCCCTGCGCGGAAATCTTTTGAAGTACGTTTTACTGCTCTGAGCTGCGGAGGAAAATGCAAATTGGTTTTATTACTTTGCATCAACTGAGCCGTAGAAATTTCAGACGTTATTAGGACGGTGTCCTTTTATGCCATTGCATTTCTATGGAAATTAATAACTAGTGTATTCAAATGTTATTGGATTATGGAAATGCAGTCTGGGGATTGTAAGATTTGGGTTTCTTTCCCTGGAGCTTGGAGGAACTGATTAGGACATTGTCATTTGCTTGTAGATTTATAAAATACCATTATAGCACAATCAGAATATAATAATAATAAAAGAAAGTATTTTAAAGTTGATTTTAATGAGGCTTTTATATTATTTAAATTTTGGTAATATGCAGTTCTTTGTTTTTGGTGGGAATCAATTTTGATTCAGGCAATCACTATGTTGTTATGAACATCATTTATCATTCTTTAAACAGATGAAAAAAATCGCATCACAAAATTAAAAGCAAAATAGTTGGAATGAGAGCATCGAAATGTGCATAAAAAAGTTTCACTCTCTAAATAAATGAAAGTGATCAATAAAGAGGATACATTTTTGCGTAGAATAATTCTTTCACATACTGTAACGTAGCCTCTTTTCTACTCTGCTGAACAGCAAACTCCGGCTCTCTTCAAGGGCCGCAGACTCCTCAGTCCACAGGCAGCAGCACCATGACAGAGATGCCAGGAGACCTGAAGCCACCGACACCAGCCACCACACCCCACGGACAGGTCACGCCACTACCGACTGCCAGGTGGGCTAAACTGATGTATTATATTTTAGTGCCTGTCAGTGTTGTGCACCTGGAAAATGCAGTGAGCTAAGCTAGCAGTTACTCAACATTAAATGAAGCTTCTCTGCACTGATGTAGCAAGATAAGCTAAAGCAACATGGCAACAGTTGCAAAACTATTTTTTAGGGCTGTCAGTTAAACGCGTAATTAACAGCGTTAACGCAAATCCATTTTAACGGCGTCAATTTTTTGCGTCAACACTCGTTTGGGCTTGCGAGCCGGCCATATAGTTGGTTAACGTTACGTTTTGGGTGGATGACGAGCGCAAGACGCCGAAATGAATGCCAATAAGATTCTGAATGGAAAGTTTACTTTTAAAAGTTGCCAAATGGTTCCATTGACAAGACCAAAGTGATCTGTGTGTTTTGTCGTTGTGAACTGAGCGATCATCATCGCAGCACGTCCAGTCTGAAATACCGCTTGATGATGGCCAAGCACACACACACACACAAACGCACACACACAGCTGATGCAAATTCTCTGCCCCCTCGTCAATATCAGGACCTCGTCAGTATTTCTTTCACCCTTTTATTGATGGACAGTGTTACATTGTGTGAGAGATTATTTGCTCCAAGTGAAAATGTTAGTGTGAAATTAAACACTGTATATGCTAATGTTGTTTTCAATAAAAAAACATTTGCACAAAGCAAGCCAATCCATTTTTCCATGTTGATAAGAGCATTAAAATGAGAAAAAAATAATCAAGAGACATTTAGAATAGATAAAAATGAGCGATTAATCGTGAGTTAACTATGACATTAATACAATTAATCGCGATTAAATATTTTAATCGTTTGACAGCACTAATTTTTTTTCAATTTTATTTTTATAGTAAACCAACCATTCCAAGTCAATGCTTTCTCAATGATCAATACAACTGTTCCAAACCAATTTCAAAGCAAAAACAATAACACAACCATAACAATAACAAAACTTGGTGCATCTTTCCATCAAGTACATTTCTCGCGTGTCAGCCCAAGGATTGGTATGTCACCGGCCGGAGAAAGCTGTTTGCCGTAACCTGCCGTAAAACACAAATTCGTTGCCGTCGCATGGAAGTACTTCTGTTGGCTACACAGATCTGTGGATCCAGGATCAGTGATCCTTAGATCCGATTTGAGCTGGAGCTTCAGAAATGCTTGGGGAAATGTAGCTTGTGTGGATGCTACCGCACTACTTGATCAACAAAAAGAGTACAACCTTGCTACTGAGAAATGTAGTTAAGCTACTTGTTGCGACGCTACTGCCCAACACTGGTGTCTGATACTCAAGTTTGTGCATGTATTGATTCTGTTGTCCTTGTTTCACCCACACTTCTTTAGAAACAGTGGTGTTAGTGTGCAAGATCCGTTCTCTGAAGGCAGTGACCCAGCCTTCCAAAAGCGAGGCCCCATGCATGGAGATCCCACCTCTAGAATGCAGTTTGACACCAGTAAGGATCCCTACGGAACTCCCAGGAAAGGTGTGTTGTTGCTGCTGTAATTACTGTGTATGGGACTGGTTTCACATTTCTGCTCACTGCTGCCTCCCTGTGCTCCATTTACTAGAGCTGCATATTCATTATTTTCTTGGACATTGCTGCCATCTAGTGTCTGCAGGTTAAAGCCAGTATGAAAGTAAAATTGACCTGAATATGACGTTTCATAGAATATTCTTTAGACATGTAGATAGTCTTTCATGTTCGTTATCTTCCTTGCAGTTAAAAAGTGTTATTTGTTTTCAGGTGTTTCTGAGTCCTTCATGCCAGGGCAGATGCCAGGCAGCGGCATGCAAGATATGTACCCACGTGGCCCGCACTCAGGAATGGGTATGGGTCCACGACCCCAGTACTCCTACAACCCTGGTTTTGAGAGGAGGTAAGACAGAACACCTTGGTGTCAGTTCATTAACTGCATAAAAACAATGCAAACATCAAAATCACATGACAACTTTATGTTTATATTTATGTTCACAGGCCAGACCATGTCATGGGACAAGACGGGGGAATTGCCCCCCCTGGAAACCAAAACAACATGGTACCTTCCAACAGTGATCCCAGCATGTTCTCTGGCAGTAGATATGCCTCTCATCAGAGGTAAGAAGTGGCTATTGTTGACTAGTTTCTATGAATGCATATGGTGTATAGAGCTGTAGTTTATTATTATATGTTTTACTGTAGACATGGACATGACGGCTATGGGCAGCAGTACCCTCACAGCATGCCATATGGTGCACATGGGATTTACCCCCAACAGCAGGTCAGCCATCAAATGTGATCAGGATTGATCCCTCTTTTATGCTGAGAGTTAGAGAGAGTTTGTGAAAATTCGTTTCATTTCATTGTGGTTTGGGGTGGGACAAAATATCGATAGGGAAATATATCGCCGTCCTTCTCCGTGCTGTATGAGAATTGATGCACTGGCGCCAAATATCGATATTTTCATTAATAAAGTAAGGCGCTTTAAATAGATTTCCATGCTCCCAGCGTCGCTACTTCATGGTTTCTTGAGGTGGCACCCAACACATGAATGAGGGAAACTAGAACATAAGTTTACTAGCCAGACAGCAGTGTGAGTAAAATAATAGATGCTTCAGCCACGACGTTTAAGTCCAAAGTCTGGAAAACTTGCATTTAACCTTTTCACTTGCATTTTGTGTTCATAGTTAGACAGATATCGTGATTATATCATTATAGGATTGTCTAGCAATATATTGATTATTGCAGAATTGCTGCATTATGATATTATCGGTATTGTGAACCATGTATCGTATCATGAGGTACTCTGTGATTCCCACCCCTAAATGTGGTAATTATTTATGCTATATCAATACTTTATTTTGACACTTTGTTTATTGGCTATTGCAGGGTTACAAGCGGCCTGGGGAAGGGATGTATGGCCCTCCACCCAAGAGGCATGAGAGTGAAGCCTATGGTATGCAGTACGGGGGCCAGCAGCCTGACAGCCTGTATAACCAATATGGTTACCCAGAACGTAGGCCCATGCAAAGCCCATTCCCCTATCCATATGGACGTGATCGCATGCAGCCAGGTGGACAGGGACCTCCTCAGCATAGCATGATGACTGGTGGACCACCCCCATCCTCTAACTCCAGCGGTGGGCATCAGGGGAACATGTGGCACACCAGGCACGACATGAGCTATCCTTACCCTGGTCGGCAGGGTCATGGGGCCCCATATCCCTCCATGAGCCGCGGAGACGATCCAGAAGTCAGGGCTAGTCAGGACAGTCAGTGGCCTGGTCAGCGTCAATCACCATACCCTCCACACTCTTCGTCCGCTTCCAGCTCCATGCCCCCCATGGTTAGCCGGCAACCATCTTCCTCCTACCAATCTCCTCCGGCAATGCCAAACCACATCTCTCGTGTCCCAAGCCCTGCACCATTCCCTCGGTCTGTGGGTGGCTCTATGTCACCCAATAAGGCTCACATGATGGCCTCTATGAAGCAGATGCAAAAGCCGGGTGGCCCAGGCTCTATGCCAAGTTCTCAAAGTGGTGGTATTCCTGGGCAAGGCTTCCCAACAATCCATCGGGATTACCCATTGGACTCTGTGGAGGCCACACAGCCCCAGATTAAACCCCGCCGAAGGTTAACTTCCAAAGACATTGGTATGAAACCCTTTTCCAGTGCTAATATTTTTTTATTTAATTGGCCTGGGTTCTGGCAAGTTTCTTAAAATGCTTGTAAATCTTGCAGGCACACCAGAGGCTTGGCGTGTGATGATGTCCCTGAAGTCTGGGTTGCTTGCAGAGAGTACATGGGCTCTAGATACTATAAACATATTGCTCTATGATGACAACACTGTGTCTTCCTTTGGCCTATCTCAGGTAAGTATCCCAGGCACTGTTGGGTTTTTAGCTTTAAAAGGGAAGGAAATTGTTGCAGAAGTCTTGTATCACTTTTACGCATTTTGTGGTAATATTTAATAGCACTTTATGATAAATAATAGGCTATAATAATGTAATGGATTTTATGTCTTGGTTTTCTAGATGCCCGGTTTCTTGGAGCTCATTGTTGAATATTTCAGAAGGTGCTTAATAGAGATATTTGGGATCCTTGAGGAATACGAAGTTGGATCAGAGGGTCAGAAAACTCTCCTCGGCTCGTGTTCAGAACCTACAGAAAAAGAGCAACCTTCCAATCAAGACCTGAAAACCCAATCCCTTGCAGAACAAGTGGAGAAGCAATTAGATACGGAGCCTGAGAAACCTCAGCCGAGCAGCTCGGCAGCACTCGTTATAGAGAAAAAGGAAGAGTTGGCAGAGGGTAAGGCTGATGAAGAAGAGAACAAAGTTGGTACAGAGCCATGTCCTCCAGTGGAGCCCAGACCCAAGCAAGCCAGTAAGTTCGACAAGCTCCCAGTGAAAATTGAGGAGAGAGAGGCTGTGGCTGATACTGTGGAGGATCGCTCAGAGCTGCTAGGCCTGGCCGGGGAGTTCACCAGTGGTCTGCTACATTGGAAAGCAGGTGGAGGGGACTCCACTGCCCACATCCAGACCCATTTAGAGAGTCGTGGGGAAGAGGAAGAACAGAAGCCCTTAGAGAATCAGGAAGGTGTGCAGGCACTTGGAAAAGAAACGGTTGAAGAAGAGCCCAGGAGGAAAGAGGAACTGAAAAGGGAACTTCCAGGCCCTTCAGAGGAAAACTTGACAGCCACTGTAGATGACATGCTAAGTTCTCGTCCAGGGCTGCTGTCAGGAGGTGAAACTCAGACATTCCTCTTCCGCAACAGAGAGAACAACAGCAGCATTACGTTGCTGGAAGATGAGCCCCGATGCTGGGATGAAGCCCCTCTTTCAGTAGCCGAGGGCTGGCAAGATGAGTTGGCCAAGCGCTGCATCTGTGTGTCCAATATCATTCGTGGACTCTCCTTTGTCCCTGGCAATGACAGCGAATTGGCTCGGCACCCAGGTTTAGTGCTCATTCTTGGCAAACTAGTGCTTCTGCACCATGAGCACCCTAAAAGAAAAAGGATGGCACCTACCTACCAGAGAGAGGAAGAGCGAGGTCTGGCTTGCAGCAAGGATGAATGGTGGTGGGACTGCCTTGGTGCCTTGCGTGAGAACACCTTGGTCACCCTTGCCAACATTTCAGGACAGCTAGACCTGTCTATTTATCCAGAAAGTATCTGCCTTCCGATTCTGGACGGGCTGCTCCACTGGATGGTGTGCCCTTCAGCAGAGGCCCAGGACCCCTTTTGCACGGCAAACGGCTTCTCCTCGCTTACGCCGCAGAGGCTTGTGCTGGAGTGTCTGTGCAAACTGAGCATCCAAGACTCAAATGTTGACCTTCTGCTGGCCACTCCTCCTTTTAGCAGACAGGAGCGCCTCTTCGCCACATTAGTGAGGCATGTCGGTGAGCGAAAGAGTCAGGTGTGCCGCGAGATGGCCGTAGCTGTTCTCTCCAATCTTGCACAGGGTGACCCGACAGCTGCCCGAGCCGTGGCCCTGCAGAAGGGCAGCGTGGGAGCCTTGATAGGCTTCCTTGAGGACAGTGTTTCCATGGCACAGTATCAGCAGAGCCCTCACAGTCTCTTGCACATGGGACACTCCACCCACCCTGAGCCGCCCAGCATCAACATGATGTGCCGAGCCGCCAAAGCCCTGCTGGCCATGGCCCAAGTGGAGGAGAACAGGCCAGAGTTTGTGCTCTTCGAGAGCCGGCTTCTTGATATCTCGCTGTCCTCTGTGCTGAACTCTGGCGTGGCAGCCATCCTGTGTGAGGTACTGTTTAAGCTCGGCCGCTCGTGACACGCACAAAGGAGCCTAGAGTGCCATCATGGGAACGCGCGGCTGAGCTGAGCCACAGAGATCACACACAACTGTTGGTGTTATATTTTTATTTAAGGAAAAGAACACAAACAAAAATTGTTTTTACATACAAATGAATATATAGAGAATATATATAGCTCCTCTGCCCCATTTCCCAGTTTTCATTTTGGATTTTTAAATGATTTTAATACAGATATTTAATACTTGGTCTTTTTTTTTTTTCTATTCTTTTTTATTTGTTTTGTTTAGTTTCATCTGTGTATTTTTTGTTCATTTGTTTTAACCAAAGTTTGCATCTGATACGCGTTTTTAGAGTATTTTGCTCTCAGAATGTTTTTAATTGTTTTGATGCAGTGTTTTGTTCGTTTTCTTGTGGGAATTTGTTTATTCGGGGAATGCAGATTTATTTAAATTGTGAGACATGTTGTAGATAGAACTTCTCTTGCAAAGTGTTGCGATAAAAGAAAAAAGAAAAAAAAAAAACACTGATTTTAAGACATACATGTATACAGCTCTGAAAAAAAGCATTGTGCAATAGATTTAGCTGGCTCAGAGGGGAGATGATGAAATGTGAATGACCACAGGCAATGTTCTGACCTGACCACCAGTGTTGCACTGTTTCACCACACCAGTATCTGAGGGTCAAGCGAGTGTTGGTTTCTAATCTGACTTGCTTCCATATAAGTGCAGCCGCAGAGGGTCCTCTCTCTGACGGCAAACTCAAAAGTTCTTCTCTATACTATATCCACGGGTCAATTTGTATATAGAAACTGTACATTAAATGGGCCCCCTTTCACATTTTTGTTTCCTCCAAGAGATGTGGTATTATACAAAGTGAGTAGTTAATGCTACATGCTATTGACATTTGCAAATGAATATTAAGTCATTGTTTTCAGGTGAGGATAGTCTTCAAACATGTAAGGGGCCGTTCACACAGGGTGAGTTCTTGCATTCGGTCTGCGCCATTTTTTTTTGTTTAAATGGTTGGTCATATGTGCACATGCCAAACAGACACATTTGGTCATTGTGCGGCACCTTTTTGTTTTTGGTGTCTTTAAAGCCCAGCGTCAAGTTGAAAATAGTTCGTATTTCGAAAGGGTACACCGCAGATCAATGTCGGTTTTACAACAATGGACCAATCAGATGAATTTGGGAGCTGGATAAGCGTCTCCTCTGGATTAAAGCATGTACATTAGCAATTGTGTATGGGATTTAATGCGCCTGTAAACGCACTTGTTCAGTTTTTAATTCAAGAATGTATTCTGTGTGAACGCCCCCAAAGACTTTCCTGTATGTCCTTTAATGAAGTGCTGTGTGACGAGAGATAGCAATGGCTCCCTCTAATGGCCTTAGATTTTTGAAATTACAGGCTAACTGAAAAGACGTCTGATGGCATAAATGTAATTCAATGTGAAAGTTACCCCAAAATGACTTAATGATTTTAACAAAAAGTATGTACAACTCTTTATGTAAGCTCTTTTTGCTCCATATGATTTGATGACCATTGTTTATTCAGTATAAAGTCTTTATACATGTTCCACATGTTAAAAGTAAATGTACATGAAATTTGGTCGAGCACTGTGAACGTTGTTCTTCAGTGTTGTTTTTATTTTTTTGTGTGTGTCACACAAGTATGTACATCATCAATATTATAATATTTAAGAAGCAAAAACACTTAATTCCTATCAGTTAAGGTTGATGGGTATATTTTTGGCCGGTCTACCAACCCCGTGCTCAATGCTGCATTTGTCACATCCACATTTTAACCAGATTACACGCACTAAAAAAAAGCAGCTGGACAAAACACTCTTACATTGGCGTACTCGAAGGGAGGGCTGGTTTTTAGCTCTTCGTTAGCACATGTTTTTGTCCTTTGCCTCTCTTTTCCAGGACAGCCTGGAAACATCTTTCAAAGATTACTAAGAGATGCTTTTATTAGACCATGCAATCACATGAACCCAATTTAACACAATAGCTGCTTTAATTCGATACGTTTAATGTATAAACACCACCGGCCAAAGGGCAGTAATGTTATTTGCAAGGACCACATAAATGCTCCAAAAATATGGTTCCCAAAAAAAACATAAGGCCAATGCTTTGCAAACAATTGACCTGGCAGATGTGAATTTAATAACATAATTGAAACTGCAGTATGTACAAACATAATACTGCCAAATCTTTTGGCTAAGGGCTTGTAAAATCCAGTGTGGCACAAGAGATTAAGCCAAACACATCCCCGCCAAGTCCTTCAGTGAAGCGTTCTCCAGTTGCTGGGTCAAAAATGTCTGATCGAAGTGACCCGTTGCCTCACACTTAACCAGACATGACCATCAGATAAATGGTATTTCCAGACAGCCGGTTAAGGCTGCGTTTTTGATAATAAAAAGCAATTTCTACTCATTTTGACTTGAAGATGGAATTCCAGTCAAATGGAGCAGAGTTCGTCTCTTCGTTTTTGGGGATTGCGGGGAAAATGGATTGCATTTTCTGGCGAAAATCCTTCAGCTGCAATAGAGAAATTATCTACATCAATCAAAGGTTGCAGATTATAGTGGGAAATAAGTTAAAAAAAGGGGAACATGGCATTTAAAGCCATCATTTTTATCAGGTACGTACACTGTGGACACCCAGGGCCTTCCAAACGGTGAGGCTGAGGAGGCCGACTCCACACCAGGCGTACAGCGACCCCCATCCCAACGCCCGCAGCGCTAGCGACGCTCCGCTCTCCGGCACGGCGGCAGTTCCCACTACACCCTGAGCTCATCCACAGCAGAACAGCGGCATTATCAAAATATTGCGAATGTACATATCACGATTTGCATATCGCAACAGTTTTTGATAACTGCATGATTTCAATACACCATAAGATTGCAAGTTTTAGGTTGATGCAGAGAGTAGACTGGAAACATGACTGTTACATACGTACAATGTTTATATGTGAATAAAAGACAATTAAATCTGTTCATCATATAAAACGATCGTGTTTCCTCGGAAAATTTGGACTCAATCCATATGGATTAGTTTTACAATTTTACTCTTTGAAGCATCAGATTTGTCAGTTGCGTAGCTGTCAATGGAGGGACTAAATTTTATCAAACAGATCTTCATTTGTGTGAGTAATAAATGAGTGTGAGTAATAAATGAACGAATTTTCATTTTTGGGCGAACTAACTCATTAAGGTTATTTAATGCAAAGTGAAGTACGCACAGAAGACCGCCTCTCGGATCCCGAATTCAGTTTTCTTACGCAGATTATATGGCTAAATACTCTTGGTGAGTGTTCACGTCAGCACATTCAGTTATGTCTTAAGTGGACTAAACAGTAGAGAAAGAAAGCATGTTGTGGTAAACTTATTTCTACTCAAGTGTAGAAGACCAGGGGCCTGTACCATGAGGCTGGTTTAGGTGACTAGCCAGCTATGTTTCAGTTTAGTTTGTGCCAACCCTGAGTTTTAGGTACCATGAAACTGGTTTGAATTTTAGCAGTGTTCATCGCCATAGTAACTTACACTCCACGGCTAACCTGGTCCGGGACAGGTTATGTTCCAGGTAAGAGGTTGCAAACCGAACTTGGACCAATCAGCCGTGAGCAAAGTGACACATGTATGACGCGATAAAGGCACTCCACAGCAAATTATTTTAAAAGACGAAATGGCTTTTAGTAAATAAATTTGTATGATTTAGAGATTATTTCTGTAATTATTATACCCTAAAACAGCCTTTCTCAAAGTGGGTGCCGCGGCACACTGGGGTGCCCCCTAGCTGTGTCAGGGGTGCCGCCAAAAAATTACGTAGGCTAAAAAAAATGTGGAAAAAAAAAAACCAGAAAAAAAAAAAACAGCTGACATTTCATATATAAATATATTTGAATTTACATTCTTCTTTTTAAACATATGAACATATTAATAAAATTGTAAATTCATTTTAGATAAACATATAAAATTAATCATAAAAAAATCCGTCTTACAAGACCGAAGCAAGACGCACACAACTTGACGCAAGTGACGCAATCCATAGCAACGCGTTATAGCAACACCTCAGACTGACAGAAACGTAAAAATAAACGTGAATTTAGGCCACTTTAGTTACAGCATTATGGATCGTTTTTTGAAAAGAAAATCCCCACAAGAGCCGGGGATTTTTATTTTATTTTATCTGCATCCTGCACTTCATTTGAGTTCTCCTGGTCTGGATTTGTTATTGGGTTCTTGTATTGGGCGGTCCACCTCTTACGGTTTTATGGCATTTGTGTCTCTGATTAATTATTTTGTGAATTACTTGCAAACCTGTGTTTTTAAAGGTGCTATAAAGTTTTTATTATTATTGTTATTTACAGTTCATATTATGCTCTGTTCATTACTGTTCTGTCTAACTAAACAAGACATTTTCATTTAAATTTGGGTTATGCAGTGTTTTTAAATTATATTTTACACTGGGGTGCCTTGAGATTTTATGCACTTTTGAAAGGTGCCCTGACTGAAAAAAGTTTGAGAAAGGCTGCCCTAAAACAATCTCACATGTACAATTTCAATTCATTATTATGCAGATTTTAAATGAATACGTATATAAAGGTAATATAAATACGCTTTAGAATCAATAAATGAAGCTATAAAATGACTACATGTGAGCTTAAAGGGATACTCCACTTTTTTTTGGAAATAGGCTCATTTTACCACTCCCCCAGAGTTAAACAGTTGAGTTTTACCGTTTTCGAATGTATTCAGCCGATTTTCTGATATTTAGAAGAATATCAGCAACCAGACAGTTTCTGTCTGGTTACTGATATTCATTTATCGGCCATTATAACTGCCGATACCGATAGTTTGGAAAATGCCTAATATCGGCCTGCCGATATATCGGTCTGGCTCTAATTTGTTTAAATTCTTCAAATTTGAATACTTTTATTTAATAAGTGAATTGCGCTACTTCTCTTGCAAGAAATTAATTTCGAATGAGTTTTGAATGATTTTCACTCTTTCTCAGTATGTGATTGGCTGTTCACTACTGATGTCACACCTAAACTCCTAAACTCAGGATCAAAGCCTGAGTTGACAGAAAAAGTTAATGATCTGCATCATGATACCAACAAAGCCTGGTTGGATTGGAATGGTTTTGTCAACTCGAAACTAATCCTGCAACCCTGAGTTTGTTCAACTACCATCATGGTACAGGCCCCAGGAGACTAGGGCAGGCAGGATTTTAAGCAGTATTCTGGCAGGATCTTAAACAGGATTCTTTATTGAGAACACGAGCTGTAGTCAACAAAATCTCGTCTCGAGTCTAACTAAAAAAACACTGGCCAGGAAGTTCCAAGAGCCATCCCAGAGCCATTAAAGAAAGTCTGCCCAATAGCTAATCCAATCAACCTTAAGGTTCAATATCTAGGCTGAAAGGTGAGAATCTCAGTGATCTGATCAATTTAAAATACAATAGAGAAAACAGGTTGGGCAGGAAAGAACCATTAAGAGTTTCAGTAATCTGACCAATACTAGGCCGGATATAATCACAATCCTAATCTTACATGCTAAATTCAATTTACAGAAAGCTTTCTCAGTTTATATTAGAATCTAAATTAAACATTTAATACATTTGTAATACCACCACATGTAACAATATACCAGATCCGTGTAGATCTTAGTTAAAGTGACAGCAACCTAATAAACCTGCTTTAATCGTCCGTGCGCACGACGTTAAATCATTCTCAGCTCTTGTCTGAATAACTTTTGTAGCTTTAATTAGAATTGGTAAATATTTAATTCATACAGTCAAGACTAAGCAGTGCTTTGTGTAAATGTAATGCTACAGTAAAACACTGCCATTTACTCTGAGAAGAAGTTGTAGGGATGCTTTCTTCTCACAAAAAGAATGGAAACATGCATATTGATTATGTTTAAGCATTATCGTATCGCACATTGAAATATATAACATTATTTAACAAGTTATCATATTTTTCTTCAATATCGTGCAGCGCGCTGGTATGCTATAACTACACCAACCACAAGTCAAACTGTTCACAACACATTTTACTTTTATATTCTGATGCATTATGAATGAAACCGGAAAAAGCAACAAGAGCCTCGATTTGATCTATCGGGCATTCATTGGATCATGGAAACTGAGCAAATTAATTGATTCATAACAACACCTGAAAGTCATTTCAAAGGAAGAGCACGCTGCTGTATTTCGGTAAACACTTTCTTTGGGATACTGATTGATTTTCCACAACTAAAGCCAGTATTAACATGTGCTTTAAATAGGGTCAATTTCTCATCCATTTTGTCTCAGATTTTGGGAGCTTTCAAGAATGTAAAGCCTCAAATTATCATATTTAGCTATTTCAACTCTCTTTCCACCCAAATGGAGAGTTGTTTCTGAGAGTAAGTTATTATATGTTGATGAAATATTACATGCTTTCAAAGGTATACTCCACTGTTTTTTTCATATTAAACTATGCAAAGTTGATGCATACGCGACTCGGCGCATATATATATATATGGACTCGGTGCGGAAATATCATCAGTCCGGAGAGTGAGAGGGGGGGAGACGACTTTTCATGAGTGATGATATTACTGCGCCGAGTCGAAGTGTTCCCAAGCACTTGCTGTGGTATTCCGCCATAAAATATAGTTATCCATTTTACATGCTTAGAAAAGCGCAACGGTTTATTTTGTGTCACCGTCCTAGGTTGAGTTACACTACTCGAGTAAATAGGGAAAACATGGAGGTGTTTGGTCGCTTCTCTACTTGGCCCATATTTAATGAACAACTGGGATAAGTGCGATCAAAGTGCCAGAGCGATTGAGCGCACGCACTGAGACGACAGAGGAATGTATCAACTCATCTTAGTTAAGGGAATAACACTTTAATAAGAAAAAATGGTGCAGTATCCCTTTAAGACATGCATAAGATCAGAAACCTATTTCAAGAAATTAAAGTTCACCCAAAAATGAAAATTACCCCATGATTTATCCTAGGTGTAAATGACATTCTTCTTTCAGACGAATACAATCAGGGTTATATTAAAAAATAAAGGCCTTTTGAAGTGAAGCGATGCGTTTGTGTAAGAAAAATATTCATTTTTAAACTTTATCAACTACAATAACTAGCTTTAGTTGTGTGTGACGTAGGATGTAGGAGAAGCGTAAGCTTGGGCAAACGCGTTCCTCATTACGTTGTGCGTTAAGTGCAAGTGTTGCTCTTTTGGCGCAAGTCGACTTGCGTACGGCCGTCTAAATCTCGGAAGAGCCAGCACATTTTTAATATAACTCCGGTTGTATTCGTCTGAAAGAAGAATGTCATGTACAGGCTATTTGTGTACAGAAGTCTCAAAAACGAAACAGATGTTTCAGACAGTCAGACCGTTAACAACATTAACTGCTTTAATGTAATTTAGTCTTTTACTGCTTTATATATTACATTAGCTGTTATTAGAGCTTCGCATGTTGCAGCCGTCGAGGAACGTGCTTTACGTCTGAGAATATGCAGTCGTATTTTACAGGTTTTTTTTTTAAATAATAATAATGTAACACAAATTTCACAGATACAATCCTTATTGCCATTTTTAATCATTTTAAATTATTCTTAATACATTTTAATTTTCTTTTAACTTCCTGAAGAAAATGAGTAGGACAATGTGCTACTATGCCCACCCTCAAGTTATATTATTATGATATTCTGCCCCCTCTATATATATTTATATATATATATATATATATAATATTGGGGCTGTCAAACGATTAATTTCAGAAAAAAATATATTTCAGAAAAAATATTATTTATATATAAAATATTTATTTATATATAAAATAATATATATTATATATATATATATATCTTTATACAGTATATACATGAAAATATTTCTTAAATATATACAAGCATATGTGTGTATTTATATATATATATATATATATATATATATATTTATACACAGTGCACCCACATATATTATGTAAACACAAACTTTTATTTTGAATGTGATTAATCGCCATTAATCGTTTGACAGCCCTAATATATATATATATATATATATATATATATACACATATACACACACACACACACACATATACATATATATATATATATATATATATCTGTATAAAGACACACATAAATACATACATACACTATATTTACATGTGAGATCTTTCACCCTTTTATTGTCTGTCTGGTAAAAACTGGAAATCTAATCAATCTTAAAAAAAGTAATCCCACATTTATCCTCCACAAGCTGCATATTTTGAGATTTCATCCATGTTGACACTGCCTTGGACAGTGCAGATCTAGTCAAGTGATCTGTCATCAGTGGACCTGGACCAGACATATGATCCACCTCCTCGCCGCTCTTAAATTGGATTTAGCCGCTTAAAAAACATTTTGGCAAGACGTGTGTTTACTGATGTGGGATAATGGGCTAAAAATAGGAATGCAAAAAGCAGACAGACAGACGAGTCTTGTTCATTTCTGGGTGTATGTTCAAAACAAGTGATAAAACAGAATGGATGTCAGCATTTACGCGATGTCTAATTGCGTTAAGTTGAGCGACGTGAGCCTGGCGTGCTTTGCTGGTTCCAGGAACAACCAGAGCACACAACAGCTTTCAGAGAACTAGATTATACTGGAAACAGAGGAGCACTATGATGGCACAGTTTCGAAATATTTCTGAAAATCCAATCGTGATTACTTTAAACCATTCTGTGATTGTTTTCACAAATATGGATATTGTAATTTGCACTGAGATATGATTAACATCTTGTGTTTTGCTCACTCTACTGAACTAAGATCTCAGTTTTCTTTGTATTCACATTGAATCTGCATTTAAAAGTACATTTTTGGTCCACTTAATTGTGTCAGGCTCTTTTTGCAAGAGCACTTGTCAAGTAATAATTATAATAATATTTTTTTTATTATGACAAACACTGTTCTAACTAATATTATAGTTATTGGTAATAATAATAATAACATAAATAACATAAAAAATATTTTACTTATGACAGGGTCATTTTTTATTTTACACTTCTGTTGGAACACTGTTCAGTTGAATATTATAGTTGATAATTAATAATACTATTAATAACAATAACATGATTAATAGGATTTTTTTTATTCCACTTAATTATGGCGGAATCCTTTTTCATTTACACTTTTGCTGGAACACTGTTGAGTTGAATATTATAATTGATGTTATTGTTAATAACAGTATTTCTGATACTAATAATTACATGATAAATAATGATATGATTAAAAAAATAATAATTCCACTTAAAAATTATAATTTTTAGTTATGGTCATTTTTCATTACACTATTTTTTGGAAAACTCTTGAGTCAAACATTACTCTTGATAACAATAATAATAACATTTTCAGACAGAAATATATTTTAATTCATATTTTGTCACTTTCACATGGCATTCTGGTGTAAAACTGAAGGAAGGGTTTCCCGATACCTTACTGAACCACTCTGGACTCTTCTTCTTAGCCATGGCCAGAGTGGAGCCGAAGCCTGCGATCACACCCGCCGTGCCGACGCAAGTCAGGAACACACCACCTGAACACAACACACTCTGTACCATAAAGTGACAACAATACACCTCGACAATATCATCATAGCCACTGGATTTAAAACAAAAGGGATTATGATGTAATACAGCGTGTGGACTGAGAGCAGCCAGACTCGTACGTTCATCTTCTACTACAGACAACAAACACACAGTGGTCAATGTATAATAATAACGAAAACATGGTCACAAACAAAAAAACCTTGAGCAAAAAAGCACTGAAAATGCAATTTGTTAACTTTTGCCATGATTTAGAAATTTGTAGGAATTTATGAATGCCGATAACAGTTTTTTTTATGGTTACAAAAATGCCTCTATTTTTTTTTTATTATTGTTGTTGTTATTATTATTATTATTTGACAGAGGGGTAAAATTAGTTAATTAATAATTAAATATTAATTTAATCTGCTAAATCCAAGTAAATATAGTGTGCATTTACATTAAACAATGCAAAAATTGATTTACATCTCTGAAGAAGTTTGATAAAAATGTTTAATACAATTCTAACTCAACCCTGGTGATTGAGAATAGTTCCAATAGTTTGTAATTTGCAAAATTTCTGCTGTTTGTCTATTGAATGATCTTTTCGTTCAGCTCGAAACAGACGGTTCTCAGTTCAATGAGTTGTTGACTCGAGAATCACTCGAACCGATTCAGTTTGATTCGCGAACGAACCGGAATATGTCGTTCGTTAAACAGTTCATTGAAAAGACTCGGCTCAAATAAAGATTTGTTCACGAATCGTACATCACTACATGCGAATCAAAAGTGGCAGAAATGTAGAATGTAACGAATACATAGACCATAACGTCGTCATACATGATATGACATTTAACATTTATATTGAAGTTTTCGATATAATATTATGTGACTAATCAGACGAAGTTAACAAAACTGCTGCTTATGAGGGACGTCAACAGATAACTCATAAAGCGTGCGCGTGCTCATGACAATGGTCGCATATGCTATATCAATATCAATACATCAAACCTTTAATCAATTGTAATTTGTCGTCTTCGAGAGTGTCATTGACTGTCCCGCTCTCGCTCGCCTGCTCCACTGACATCTTGAACGGGTGCGACTCACACACGAGTCCGGTGGAAACACGTCAGGCGGAACCTTTCGCATCACACATTACAGCTAGTTAGGTTAAAAAGTGGACTTGATACAGCATTTCACTAGACAAAAATGTCATTATAAGCGCGCGTACTGTTACATTCTCATTATCAATTGAAACAAGAATAAAATCCAAATAATGGCAAAGTAAAAGTAATGCTGCAGAACTGTATGAGTGATCAATAAATAAGTGTGCTGATGTAGATACATTTTTTGTGTGTTTTTTGTTGTTGTAACACGTAATGTTATTGAACTAGATACATGTGTCTGAGAGGAGTACTGAGATTCTGTTGATCAGATCGGCTATGTTTCAAAACTAAGTGAGCTCAGCTGCTGCCTACCTAGACAGCATTCGGGGCATCTCGGACAGAGAGCTGTCTAGTAATGTCTTGTTACAGTAATTTATATATATTTCTGTAACATAGTTTTGTATTGATGCTACAAGCGGATTTGGAACCTGCATTTGTTTGCAAATAAAAATAACAATAATAATGGATGTTTTTATTGTTGTAGATTTTAAGACACGTACTCAAAGATGTGGTCTAGATCACTAGGTTTTGAGACCTACCCCCAAATATTGACTATAAAGGCAGCTCACTTGGTCGTGAGCGAGTGCACGCGAATGCTGCCTACATAGACAGCTCGTCATGATTTGAGCCGCGCCGCTGTTTATAGGGTCATCGTGTGCCTTGAGCTCAAGCAGTTCACGCGGTGATCTACTCCATCCACATCCTGCGATTTCTCTCCCTCCTTTATCGTAATGGATATGATCAAACGCCCACCTTTGCTTGTTTGCTGTTGTGATATCATGCGCGCGCCGGCAGAACTAGACATTTAGATGGCGTTCATGCAATAAAGACCCTCTACGGGAAACGGGATTTACGAGGACATCGGAAGGACGTTTTTCTGACGTTATTTTCCTAATCTTTTTTTAGTGGATTTGGAACCGCATCAAAGGAGTAACAATCTTTTACAACGCTACATTTCTGGTTCACGATGTCCACATGCCTCTGTGTCCCGGAGCGCATCCTGTTGTGTTGAGGATAGCCATCTGCAATGAAGGAGTTATCCAAACAAACATGCGAAGAACCAAACACTCGGATCTTATTCCATGCCGGATCTAAATATTAGCATTTTTAATGTAATGCAATTCAATCATTGAAGATTGCAATAAAACATGGAGCTGAGAAAATGGTTCCTTGATTCCAGTCCCACGCTTTTCCTTGACTGGGTTGTTTAGGCTAATGCTTGCTTCCTCCATCAGACCAGAGATGTTTCTCCGAGACCCAGCTGTCTCGTTAGTTCCTTGAGGACATTTGAGTTACTGATTCACTTGTGCTGCTTTAAAGTTTTGTTTTATTGCTGGTGTGTAAATGACAGGAAACATGCATCTTGGGGTTGAGGAGCCCATCCGTGAGTGCCAGTACAACCAGATCTGCACACACAACTCCTCACCCATGGACACCCCGCACAGCAAAAAGAGGAAGAGCAAAAGGAAATGGCAGGTTTTTCCTGGCCGAAACAGGTTTTACTGCAACGGGCGGATCATGATGGCCAAGCAGACCGGGGTCTTCTACCTTACCATGGTTCTCATTCTGGTGACCAGTGGCCTCTTCTTTGCCTTTGAGTAAGTACTTTGACCCACTGGAGTTCTCATATCTTCCCTCAACCCCAGACGCTACCAACATGTTTGTAGACCACGGACACTCTTTAAAATAAAGGTTTGTTATTGGCATGTGTAGTTTCATAAGGAGCCAAAAAGGGAAAGTTCACCCAAAAATGAAAATTCTGCCATTATTTACTCACCCTCATGTCATCCCAAAGCTTTAAGACTTTCGTTCATCTTCTGAACACAAATGAAGATCTTTTTTAAAATAGAGTCCCTCTTTTGACATATGTAACTACTACCTTGACGCTTCAAAAAGTTACACAAAAACTAATCCATATGAATCGAGCGGTTTAGTCCAAATTTTATGAAGAGACACGATCGCCTTATATGATGAACATATGATGAATATGATTTATTTTAGGCTTTTATTCACATATAAACATAGATCAGCGAACATAAACAGAAGCTCAACCGAACCTGCTTGACACGTGAGAACAAGCCTCTTGCTGAAGCTCAAACGTGATGCGTAACACGAGAATGAACCTCATTGGTTCTTGCTGAAGCTCAAACGTGATGAGTAACACGAGAATGAACCTCATTGGTTCTTGCTGAAGCTCAAACGTGATGCTTAACAAGAGAATGAACCTCATTGGTTCTTGCTGAAGCTCAAACGTGAAGCGTAACACGAGAATGAACCTCATTGGTTCACATATGTCAGGTGAACATGCTTGAGCTTTAGTTTACTACAACGAAAGCCTAGTTCACAGTACATGATTTTAAGCCCGATTTGCAAATCGTTGAGCTCGCAGACAAGTCAGGGTGTTATCGCGTGCAAATTGCTGGGGATTAGCGGGCGATGAATGCTCGTCAATCTGTTAGTATGAAGGAGCCAACAACGCATCAAAGATGCTCCCGGACGCGTTGCAGAGCCCAGAAAAATATCTAAAATGCTAGATATCCAGAGCTGTCGCACGACTCAACCTCAGTGATGTCATGAGCTACAGCCAATCAGAGCAAGGCATGGGTTGAGGTCAGTATTCTTCGCTGGATTTTGGCACGCGTGCTGTTTCACGCCATTTTCGGTTCGTTTTATCACGTTTTTCGTGACAAAACGTGGTTTGTAGACAAGATAGAATCGTTGAGTGACAGAGTTGTTGTCAACTCGTGTAGTGCGTTACCTCCTGTTGCGGATCAATCACGTTGTGTCGTGTGGTGTGAACCGCTCAACAACTTGAACACTCAACAATTATTTCACAGAGAACAAGTTATGTAGTGTGAACCGCACAGTTCAGCTCAACGTTGTAAAATCATGTAGTGTGAACAAGGCTTAATGTGTCAGTTGATGAATCTTTATATGTAAATAAAAGCCTATATTCAATCTGTTCAGCATATAAAGCGATCGAGTCTCATAAGAAAATTTGGACTAAACCACTCGATTCATATGGATTAGTTGTTTTACGATGTCTTTATCAACTTTTTGAAGTGTCAAAGTGGTAGTTGTGACATATGGAGGGACAGATGTCATCAAAAAGATCTTCATTGGCTTTGGAATGACATGAGGATGAGTGACTAATAAAATAAATGTATATAATTTTGGGGGGAAAGTATCCCTTTAAACATCCATAGAACCTTTTTAATGTACAAAATGTTCAGAGAAAGGTTCTTCACACTAAGAAAAAAGGTTAAAACATGAAAGATTCTTTAATGGCCTTTTCTGAATCTTTCGTCGTGTTCTTTGAAGGACCTCAGCGCAGTACGTAAATGCCATGGTATATGAATATGGAAATCACTCAGTACTTGAGTTTGATGTGATCATTATGATTACCGTTGATTAAGTCCAAAAATAGGCAGTGCTTTCAAAACGCGAAGACCTCGATCCCACATTCATGGAAGTGGACATTATGTAAACAGCTCAGTATTATAGCCTCATCCCTTCTGTTGTATTTCTCTCCATTACTCTTGATGAAGTGAGCTCTGGGCTTTATTATACCTGGGCATTTCAGATGAATTGCATGTGGTCTGTGATCCACTCAAGCCGGTACAGCAATTCACACAGTCCATGTAACTTCCAACACACTGCAGGCTGTGAGGAACTCCTTGTGGGAAGTTTAACCAACCTAGAGTAGAAACTATTGACATGCGGCATTTGCATTCCTGACATTTCGGAAGATCTTTTGACGAGAGAACCTGATCCTTAGAGTCTTTGGGGGAGTTTGCAGTTAAAAACCTATATCAGCTGGTATGAAAATGCCTTTTTTTACACACACTCGAAGCATGTTTGCCTTTAACCCTTGGACGGGTGTTAAAGACTCTCTCAGTGGGATCCTGTGGATAAGAGATGTGTTGAGCAGAGATTTTCCAGTCCCATCCCCCACCTCTCAAACCCCATACATTCCATACCACAACTTCCAAAACACAGACGTGGTGCGGTCCTGTTTCCATGGCAACGGTTTCCCTTTTCCCGATCTTTGTGTGCTTTTGGAGCAGCCCCGTGTCTCCTAGGAAACAACAGGGCGGCCCAGCCCACGGTTGTATTTTCTGTGCTTTAGGGTTAGTCGTGTCATGCTTTTTTGAAACGATTATAAAGTCATTACAGATGTTTTGTGAGCCATTTTAACCCAGTTAGCTGAAGCTATAGATGAAGACGTTGGTGAAAGGCAGTCACGTTATGCAGTTAAAAGCAAGCCATTTACTCGTAAATCATTTGAAGCAGTTAATAATGGTTAGGTTGTGTCATGGGCAGGGATAAAAACAGGAAATAGTATTAAGTCAGACTTGTTGACAGCGGACAGGATGGATCAGTGTAGGGCATGCAGTAAAAATAACTCAAATCAAAGCAATATTCAGTTTAAAACCACCAGATTTGGTCTATTGACAGCGTCCTTGACATTTTTACCACAGGAAATAACTTTGGGGCAAGACATTCCAGAGTGTTTAATAACAGAAATGTGTAGCTTGTATTTTTGTTAAAACGCATATTCTTCAGTACAGAAATGTATTTGAACTACCTTTTTTGCCAGATGAAAGTCTGGTCATGTGCTAGCAACAATACTTTTGACTGGGCACAGTTTGCTCCATGTGAACTGTACTTTCATGATCATGTTTACCAGCTTAACTTTGTCATGAAGTTTGATATGTAACTTATATAGCTTACATGGCTAAGCTAATTTATTAAAGCTGCAGTCCGTAGCTTTTTTGGGGGGGTTAAAAATGATCCAAAATACATTTTTGAAAAAATACATAACCAGCCAGTGTTCAAAACTATCTGCTTGCCTTAGCTCAACGGTTTTAAAGCAGTTAGCTTGTAATGTTTTTAATTCCAGTGGTAATGGTTGATTTCCATTTGCCTTTTTGCGTCATTAGGTCACATCTGTATTCTGTACACATAAAGAAGAAGTCTCGGCTAGTAGACTATATTGAGTCATTACATCACATCTACACATAAAGAAGAGTCTCGGCTAGTAGGCTATATTGAGTCTACGTCACATCTACACATAAAGAAGAGTCTCGGCTAATCGGCTATATTGTGTCATTACGTTACATCTGTACACATAAAGAAGAGTCTCGGCTAGTCAGCTATATTGTGTCATTACGTTACATCTGTACACATAAAGAAGGAGTCTCGGCTAGTTGGCTATATTGAGTCATTACGTCACATCTGTACACATAAAGAAGAGTCTCGGCTAGTCGGCTATATTGTGTCATTACGTAACATCTGTAAACATGAAGAAGAGTCTCGGCTAGTAGACTATATTGAGTCATTCATTACGTCACATCTGTACACATAAAGAAGAGTCTCGGCTAGTCGGCTATATTGAGTCTTTACGTCACATCTGTACACATAAAGAAGAGTCTCGGCTAGTCGGCTATATTGAGTCACTACGTCACATCTACACATAAAGAAGAGTCTCGGCTAGTCGGCTATATTGAGTCATTACGTCACATCTGTACACATAAAGAAGAGTCTCGGCTAGTAGGCTATATTGAGTCATTACGTCACATCTACACATAAAGAAGAGTATCGGCTAGTCGGCTATATTGAGTCACTACGTCACATCTACACATAAAGAAGAGTCTCGGCTAGTCGGCTATATTGAGTCACTACGTCACATCTGTACACATAAAGAAGAGTCTCGGCTAGTCGGCTATATTGAGTCATTACGTCACATCTGTACACATAAAGAAGAGTCTCGGCTAGTCGGCTATATTGAGTCATTACGTCACATCTGTACACATGAAGAAGAGTCTCAGCTCGTCGGCTATATTGAGTCATTACGTCACATCTGTACACATAAAGAAGAGTCTCGGCTAGTAGGCTATATTGAGTCATTACGTCACATCTGTACACATAAAGAAGAGTCTCGGCTAGTCGGCTATATTGAGTCATTACGTCACATCTGTACACATAAAGAAGGAGTCTCGGCTAGTCGGCTATATTGAGTCATTACGTCACATCTGTACACATAAAGAAGAGTCTCGGCTAGTCGGCTGTATTGAGTCATTACGTCACATCTGTACACAAAGAAGAGTCTCGGCTAGTAGGCTATATTGAGTCATTACGTCACATCTGTACACATAAAGAAGAGTATCGGCTAGTAGGCTATATTGAGTCATTACGTAACATCTGTACACAAGAAGAAGAGTCTCGGCTAGTCGGCTATATTGTGTCACTACGTCACATCTACACATAAATAAGAGTCTCGGCTAGTCGGCTATATTGAGTCATTACGTCACATCTACACATAAAGAAGAGTCTCGGCTAGTCGGCTATATTGAGTCATTACGTCACATCTGTACACATAAAGAAGAGTCTCGGCTAGTCGGCTATATTGAGTCATTACGTCACATCTGTACACATAAAGAAGAGTATCGGCTAGTAGGCTATATTGAGTCATTACGTAACATCTGTGCACAAGAAGAAGAGTCTCGGCTAGTCGGCTATATTGAGTCACTACGTCACATCTACACATAAAGAAGAGTCTCGGCTAGTCGGCTATATTGCGTGTGAATATGCTGGA